TGTTTCCTCTATATGTAAGTGTTCTGCCTTCAGCCCCTACGCACCATATATGCCCTTGCAGTTGTAAACCTCCTTTCATCCCTGCTGTTTCCCATACAAACTTGAAAAGTCCAAGAGCCCTGTCCAACTGCCTCACCCCACTCCAAACCATCTCCTCCTCATCTGAAGTCACAATCCTTCCCATGCACAAGCAGAAATCGTTCTCACTACCGCTGCTATAAATACCGCCACGTACGTCCACTTCAATATCTCTAACATGCCCAAAGAGGTAATATAACAAAAGTGTGAACAGGCACTTGGACGAATGACCCAATGTCTTTGTCAGCTTCTTCTGCACTAGGCTTTCTTGATGCCGAACTTCCTTGTGTCCTATATTTCTATCAGTCAACACATCCTTGATCTGAGACAGCCCCTCTTTCAAGACCTCAAGCTTCGCTACGTAAAGAAGTAACTCCCTTTCATTTTTCAAACAATCAATGAGGTCGTTGAACATCTCGAGAACATCTTCCCATTTTTGCAAACCACAAGAGTCTGTAACTTTTGCAGGCGATAGGCGCGTCCATGAAGAGCAATCATGTTCATATGAAATGGATGTGGATGTGTCAGCCAAGAACTTTAGACAGCTAGCAACTATCTGCTGTCCCATCTTTGTTCCTTTGCTTGGGCACCGATGATCTAAATATTCCAACTCGGATTTCAATCCATTGAGTACCTCCTCAAGCGTCCCAGTCCATATGCGGTGCTGTGTAATCTGTGGAGATAATGTAACACGTACTGACTGTCTTTGTTGAGCAGTGATGTTCAGAAAGCCACTTACTACGGAGAGTGTTTTTACAACCATGGGCTCTCTTTCATTTGGTTTACTGAAACACACAAATTGATTACAGATTCTACCACCTGACAACGCCACGACATCATTCTTTAACGTTTGCTGAACTAATGGAGAACCAATAAATTCCCTGGCAAGTGACTTGAAAGTAAGCATTCTGTGTTCAATACGGTCATCCATGATAATCGAACCATCACTGATGTTAACAAGCCTTCCATCAACCAAATCGACATTTTTTAACAATTGGGTTAGTTTTGTTAACTTGGGGAATTCCTTTTGATACCATTCTCGGGGCATAGGCTCTCCATGAGACTCCTCTGAGCAATGATGTAGCATCCCATTCAAATGGACAGCTCCCTTTCGCTTAGCCATTAGATGCCTTGCACCATGTATTAACCTGTCTACATGTCTACGGGCCATTGTGACCTGGGAAAAAAAAACCTCAAATAACCCTTCAAGTCGACGCTCCGAAGTTAAAACTGCAATAGTAAAAGGGCATTGAATTCGGTAAGGCAATACATCGAACACATGGCGTGCAATTTGTTGCTTTCACATATGAACTGAATGACCAACCATTTGAGACGGCTTACTCGGCAATAAAAAAGGTAAGATGCAAGCACAGGAGAGCCAAGATCAAAAGCTTGCCTACACTTCTATTAGGTACAGAAAATGACGGAAGAGACTATGCCGCTCGTGTAAAGCTGAAGGAGGAGAGACTAACGGTTTGCCGGGAAAAAACCTATAACGCATTAACGTGTTTAAAATTAGGTCCAACCGTTTTCAGTGGCTTTATTCATGGGCTTGGGCTGGATCTTATGTTGGATCCATTGTTAACAGTTAGGCTTTAATATGTGTTTTGTTTTATTTATAATTTTATCTTTTATTTTATTTTATTAATACAAGCGAACCGATAGTCTAAACGACAAAAGGAGGGGTGTTTCACACACATTACCAAGTTGCTACAGGCAGTGGTGCAGCCAGGAATTTGCATTAGAAGGGCCCTTCACAAAATTTTATAAAATAATATGAATATGGAGGCTCAAGCGCTAACCGGTTAATAAGTTAATACGATACTAACTACTCGATTTAGCTTACTTCATAATATCATTTCATATTTTGATTAACAATTCATTCATTACAATCATGATTGTCCTTAATTTCATATTATAAAATGGTTGAATATTAATCTCATCATCTACACTATTAAAGACTCAAAAGTTAATAAATGGAGATTCACTATTATATCCAATATAGGAGCTCAAATTATAAAAAAAACCATATATGAAATTAAACACATCCAAAGTGTAATATCCCACATCGACCAACAGAGAGGGGGTGATGTGCTTTATATGTACATGCCCACTTCCATCTAGCACAAGGCCTTTTGGGAGCTCACTGGCTTCAGAATCATGGGAACTCCGAAGTTAAGTCAGTTGGGGCTAGAGTAATCCTAGGATGGATGACCCACTAGGAAGTTGCTCGTGAACTCCTAGAAACAAAACTGTGAGGGTAGAAAGAGGGGCCCAAAGCGGACAATATCGTGCTACGGTGAAGCTGGTCCAGGGATGTGACAATTTGATATCATAGCCACTATGCTGTGTGGTGCGAGTGTGCCGACCAGGACCTCGGGCCCTTAAGGGGGGTGGATTGTAATATCCCACATCGACCAACGGAGAGGGGGTGATGTGCCTTATATGTACATGCCCACCTCTATCCTCATGAGCTCCCAGAAACAAAACCATGAGGGCAGAGAGGAGGGCCCAAAGAGGACAATATCGTACTACGACGGAGCCGATCTAGGGATGTGACAAAGCCCATTTACAATATAACAAAAAGACTTTAACTTCTTTTAAATTACAAAACTGCCATTAATTTCTTAAAACAAACCCAACTCCAAAATCTCATAAAAAAAGCCCAAAACACTCAATAGGACATCAAAGTAATTTAATAATCAAAATTAAATTCAATAGGGCCATCTATTATTTTTTGGGTTTGTTTATAGGAATTAAATGATATAGGGTTTATTTATAATATTAGTGCTAAGAATGGATATATGACTAAATATCTCTAATTTATATTCCAACATAGAGAAGAAATACAAAAAAAAAGTTCATAAATCCCAATATTAAAGTACCCTACTCAGACATTAAAAAGGGGGGGAAAAATTACAAAACTTAAGCTCAAGTTGAACAAAAGAGGAACAGAAAGAGAAAAAAAAAGGGGGTTTTTTAGTGCAAATATCATAACCTAGCCTAGTAGATTTAATTGAAAGTAAAAGAGTGATTAAGAAGTTTAATGGTCAATTTGTAGACAAAAAGAACCTAATATATAGTTTATTTAGAGTAAATATTCCAAATATTAGATAATATATTATAATATATATATCATATAATATATAAAAGGAGTATCACTGCGCGGCTTTATTGGGGTCCTTTTTTAGTTTTTTTTTCAATAATTAGTATAGCCGTGCGGCGATACTCCTATAATTAACAAGAATCGCCGTGCAGTGGTACTATGGCCGTATAGCCGCATGGCTATACATGAGAAATTTTTTTGTTTTTTGTTTTGTTTTTTTTGTTTTTTGGGGTCGAGGTTTGCACTCGCTAAACTATTTATTTTAAGACTACAACAATCAGTGCAAAACCTGCTAAACCCAATTTCCGCCCCAGGGGGTTAGACCACTTGGGTTATATTTTATAGTCTCATTGAATGTGAAGAAAGTAAGAATCATAGTAGACAGTATTGTGTCATCTCCTGGGCTCCTCCTGAGTGTAGCTCTGTTTTTTCTAATGTTTGGAAGAAGCAGCACCAATAGATGGTAAGTTGTTTTCTTGTCTTCTTTGGAAAATAGAGAGCAACTTGGTTATTTGAAAATTTACCTACAATGGCCTATTGCGATATAGATGACATGATGTTAGAATTGAAAAAAAATAAGAAATGTGTGTCAAATTATAGGACATGCGCTTATTGGTACTTCTCTTGGGCATTAATGTCAAATGTGGGGTTCATCTCTTCTACTCTCTTTTTTCCCCCATTTGGCAACTCACTTAAGTATTAACTTGAGGGGGACAAAAAAACTGAAAGAGAGAAAAAGATAGGAAGAATTAAAACAAGTATACAATTCAGAAAATTGCAGCTTCCTTTGAGTTGATTTGGTATTTGATTCTGGAAGACTAACCAAGTGAGTGGATGACCACAAATGATTTAGATTTTTCTACTAGAGGAACGCTCCTAATTGTCAATTGTCAGGCAAGACACCATCATTCTTGAACTAAATTTGAAGTAAGCCCACTTTTGATTGAAGAGAATTTTCTCCATTTCACACTGGAGAGAGTGATGTTTATTTGCATTCAATTACGCATCTAAATTTGATATGACTTGCATCGATATTGTCGATAATGCATCAGTAACATGTTTACATTGATAATTGATACTGTGTCAAAACGAATTCTACTCCAAGCTACAGTGAAAGGGGATCCCTTATGAGAAATTCATCCTATTTATCTGTCCTTGAAACTTTAGTAATTTGTCTCCCCACTATTCAACTTTAGTATTGAAAGCTTACTAATTGTCTTCCCAGCTACTCAACTTAACTATATACTGTAGGGTTTCTACTTTCTAATCAAGTATTGCCAATGCTGCTAATTGTGAAATTTTTTTAAGGTGAGAGACAGTTACAAACAAAGCTTTACCAAATTAATACAATTATCTTCTAATTAGAGTCAGACTCTCCATATATAGTGCAGACTAAAAGAAACACACCCCTCACTGGTTCATCAGGTGTACTTAAGTTGAGCATTCATGTCCCGGTCGACCATAAGAACACTACAGGTCTTCCAACACATCAAGTTCTGCACAGAATCCAGTGGCACAGCTTTTGGATCCCGGAAATCTTGTTGTGATAGATGGCAATGGTCATAATGACTCTGATAATATTTTATGACAGAGTTTTGATTACCCAGGTGATACATTAATACCAGGTATGAAGCTTGTTAGGAACAAAATCACAGGTTTTAATTGGCATCTTACACCCTAGAAAAGCCCCCAGGATCCTTCTCAAGGACATTATCCATATCAACTCGGTCCTTATGGGTACCATGAATTAATTCTGAGGGAGGGTTCTGTTATAAAATATAGGACTGCACCATGGAATGGAATCCAATTTAGTGGGATGCATAATTTAAATCCAACATATGATTTTGTGTTGGATAATGATGATGAAGGATATTATGGTTATAAGCTTCTCAATAGCTCAACTCTTTTCAGGCTGGCGTTAACTCAAGATGGATTTGGTCTGAGCTACATCGGGAGTGATGGAAACCAAGGTTGGGTCGTTTATCTAATAGCAATGACTGATATCTGTGACAAATATGGAATATGTGGTCCGAATGGTGCATGTAGTATTGAAAGGATTTATACCGACTTTCAACAAGACTGGGACTTGGTGGATTGCCCATATAGATGTGTGAGAAAGAGCCAACTGAATTGCAGTGGAGACATCTTTAAGAAGTACTCTGGGGTGAAATTGCCAAGTACAGAACAATCCTGGTATAACACAAGTATGAACCTCAAGGAATGTGAGATGATGTGCATGAACAACTGTTCCTGCACCTCTTTTTCAAATTTGGATATCCGAGATGGAGGAAGGGGGTTCTTGCTGTGGTTCAGCGATCTGGTTGATATAAGATATTCCAATATAAGTGGGCAAGGGCTTCGTCAGAACTAGGTATGGAATCATCTTGCTGTTTAAAATAAAGTTTGAAAGAAAAATAAAAGCCACCAAGGAAAAAAGAGGAAAGAAATCTTCCAACAGTGACATGATTAGAAACAAGATAGAGCCAGAAAACTTTTGACATTGTTAGAAAAATATTTCTTTAGAGCTGTCTCAGAAACTAGCATTAAAAAGTAAAGATTTTTTTCTTTATGAATTTCTGACTCTCAATCTTCTGCTCTCAAATACTTCATCCCTAGATCAAGGACACAATACAAAGATCATAGTAACCAGTACTCTGTTGTCTACTGGACTGCTGATCCTGGGCCTTACCCTGCTATTACACGTGAGGAAAAACCAGCAACAAAAATATGGTAAGCTATTTGATTTTCTACTCTTCTGCCCCTTCATTTTCTAAGATAGGTAGGTTCAGTTCTATAGAAAATTTTTGCTGTTGCCTCTCTGGTTTCTAAGCTAAGGTTCCATGCTACATTATTTACTTCACTACGTACTTCACAGGAGAACTGAAGCCCGGCCAAAAGGAAGATATGGAATTGCCATTATTTAACTTGGCCGCTGTTGTTTGTGCAACCAAAATTTTTTCAAACAACAATAAACTTGGAGAAGGTGGTTTCGGATCAGTCTTTAAGGTAAAATCAAATATAGTCCTCCCTAGAGTTAGCTTGACAGTTTCCGCATGTCATTTGGGTCAGTACTATGGATACAAGTCGTATATTGAATGTTTGCAAACAACAGAGTATGGATTTTGGTCATCATATGTGGCTAATGGATTTCAGGGTACATTTAAAGATGGACAAGAAATAGATGTGAAAACGCTCTCAAAACATTCTAGACAAGGACTCAATGAGTTGAAGAATGAGGTTACACATGAAGAGAAACAGAGGATTTAAATGAGCTGAAGAAAGGTGGGTTGGTGCTAGAGATAGCGAGTGGGAAGAGGAACAAAGGATTTACTCATTACTTGTTTCTGTTTCTTCTTTTAATTAAGCACAATGGTTTTGAACTTTTGATCAATTCCTTTAGGCAAGGATGGTATACACAGAAGGCAGGTCCATTGAAGTGCTTCATACATCAGTAGGGGACTCCAGTGAGATCAATTCATGTAGGTCTTTTAAGTGTGCAGCGTAACCTGGCAGATAGACCGAGCATGACAGCTGCAGTTGTAATGCTAAGTGGTGAAGGGTCATTGCCTCAACCTCAAAAACCTGGTTTTTATAGTGAATGGGATCTCAATCAACTCGAAGTCGATCCTTCGCCTTAAGCATTTTCAGCTAATGAAGTCACAGTCATTTTACACTAATGGAGGCTCGATAAACGATATTTCATGTTGGTGTGTTAATCTGGTGTTTTTGAAGTCAGTTTGAAAAGTTAAATATAATTAAGAGATTCCCAACCCATGCGTTAGCTAATGCACCCTCTAATTTTCTGTATTTGTTTTCTTGGAGTTGGGGTGGAGTTCACACAATAGAAACACAGATGCTGATACAAGAACAAATATAAAAACTTAAATGAATTAGATTTTTCACTTGAGGTGGTGTAATCTTTCAAATTTTTTTTTCTGTTTTTTGGTGGGTTGGTTTTGGGTTCCTATGCAACAGGAGGAGGAGACAAATCTTCCTTTTTTACTTTTTTTTCTCTCTCAGCAAACAAGAAGGCATTATCAAATGTCAAAATCTATAACAGAAATGCAATATCCAAAGAATGAAAAGCAGTCCAACCAAGAAGAAACTAGCAAATATTACTGAATCAGCAAAACTTATGAATTTAGCAAATAAAGAACCTGAAGCCAATTTCAAGCAGAAAAAATTACTTGTGTAATATGAAGAGCCTGCTCAAGCCGCTGAATTTGAATCCATTGTTCTGTAACAATGTCAGCCATCTGAAAGCAAAGAGAAAGAAGCCAATGGCAAAATGACATCACACTAAAAACATCCCACACTCATAGCCATAGACCAAAGATGGACTGAGTACATCAGTGCATGACCTTTTGAGCCTGAGAGGCAACCGTTTCGAGTCTATCCTCGGCATCTTGTGCTTTAGACTCTAAAACATGAAGATCGAAGTTGTACTCTAATTCAACTTCTACAACATATTAACTCTAATTCAAATCACAACACGAGTTGTTGAAATCATGACAGAATACATATATGTAACATCTTAAATGGAGAAGTTACCCACTTCCAAGGAGCATCTCAAGCAGGAAGATTCGAAGGCTTTAGACTGAGACTAGCAAAAATATTCACGAGATCTCTTTCTTCACTATCTGCATGATTATGTTCAACAACATAAGTGTTACCACATAAAGGAAGGAAGGTAGGTTCAATAAATGACAAGGCAACAAAATTACCAACCAGAGTCACAACCGTGCTACAATTTCAATGTTGCGAAGATATATATTCTTAACTTGTTAGGAAAGAATTGGACACCCAAATATAACACCTAAATATATTACCAATTTTATTGAACTTAAAAGAAGACTTAAAGTATAACCAATTCTGTAGTTCCAAAATAAATAAAATAATAATTTGTAAGTCATATCCCTTGCCTGGACTGGAAATAGGTGATGAGTGCATTATTGTTGGAACTGTGCGTGGCTCCTTTACTATTTTGGACTCCATCTTCTTTTAAGAAGTTTCACCAATTAACTAAGACATCTGTTAATTGCTTCTCCCCAATATGCTCATTTCCAGAAGCTACGGAAGTCTTTGTTTCTCCTATAACTGAGGTAAGAAATCATAAGCATTGCACATATAGCATCCATTTACCACAGGAATAAAATGCTATCTTCACACTTTTAATAACACATCCAAAATATTTTACTAACCAAATTCTATTGCGTGAACTCTACAATAAGAGCAATTTATAATTTATCTTTTTATAACACAAATTTAAGTTACAAACTTTCATTAAAACAAAGAAAGAGAATCGTGATGCAGAAGACACTGTTGATAATAATAGTGAACATTATTTGTACCATTCCTTATTCTCAATTCTGATTATTTGACTTCAGTAGCAGGCAAAGTTGCATCTACTAGATGGTCACTGGAACCATATTCCTTTGAATTCTGCTAACCAAGAGGAGCCTTTGGTTCTGACGAAGACATAAGAGCAACCAATTTTACCACTAAGAGTATATCAAAAAGCAAAAACTTTCACTATCTAGGATGTACTCAATCATCCATATATACAAGGGGAGAATGGAGATGATGTGGCTCATAGAATCAAAGCACGATAGGTAAAATGAAGGGTTTTGTTAAGCATATATATAGTGTGATCATCATATTATGCTAGAATTGAAAGCTAAGTTCATAGAACATCTGTTAGACCAGCCATGCTATATGGGACTGAATTCTGGACAGTTAGAAAACAGACATATTCATAATTCCTGTAGGTACATATTAGCCAAATGTTACAACCAGCACAGTGATATGCACACCTACATCTCTGTTTCTCTAACGGCATATTAGCCATTATTAGACACAAATTGTTAAGAGATCAGATTAAAATATTTGTCACCATTTGAATCCTTCAAAATTGGAGGTGTTTGCTGAATAATCTTTGCTATCTTTCAAAATTGAAGGGTCATTGCCTCAACCTTAAAAGCCTGGATTTTATAGTGAAAGGGATGTAAATGAACTCGAGGTCTATCCTTCTTCTAAAGCATTTTCAGCTAATGAAGTCACAGTCCTTTTACACTAATGGAGGCTCGATAAACGATATTTCATGTTGGTATGTTAATCTGGTGCTTTTCAAAATTGGAGGTGTTTGCTGAATAATCTTTGCTATCTTTCAAAATTGAAGGGTCATTGCCTCAACCTTAAAAGCCTGGATTTTATAGTGAAAGGGATGTCAATGAACTCGAGGTCTATCCTTCTTCTAAAGCATTTTCAGCTAATGAAGTCACAGTCCTTTTACACTAATGGAGGCTCGATAAACGATATTTCATGTTGGTATGTTAATCTGGTGCTTTTGAAGTCAGTTTGAAAAGTTAAATATAATTAAGAGATTCCCAACCCATGCGTTAGCAAATGCACCCTCTAATTTTTTTTTTTGTTTTCTTTGGAGTTGAGGTGGAGTTCACACAACAGAAACACAGATGCTGATACAAGAACAAATATAAAAGCTTAAATGAATTAGATTTTTCACTTGAGGTGGTGTAATATTTCTTTCTTTTTTTTTCTTTTTTTTGGGGTCTTTGGTGGGTTGGTTTTGGGTTCCTATGCAACAGGAGGAGGAGACAAATCTTTCTTCTTCTTTTTTCTCTCAGCAAACAAGAGGGCATTATCAAATGTCAAAATCTATAACAGAAACGCAATATCCAAAGAATGAAAAGCAGTCCAACCAAGAAGAAACTAGCAAATATTAGTGACTCAGCAAAACTTATGAATTTAGCAAATAAAGAACCTGAAGCCAGTTTCAAGCAGAAAAAACTTACTTGTGTAATATGAAGAGCCTGCTCAAGCCGCTGAATTTGAATCCATTGTTCTGTAACAATGTCAGCCATCTGAAAGCAAAGAGAAAGAAGCCAATGACAAAATGAACACCACACTAACAACATCACAAACTCATAGCCATAGACCAAAGATGGATTGAGTACATCAGTGCATGACCTTTTGAGCCTGAGAGGCAAACCGTTTCGAGTCTATCCTCGGCATCTTGTGCTTTAGACTCTAAAAATGGGCCTAGGCGGGCGGCTAGGCGGCTAGGCGGGTGCTAGGAGGCTGGGCGGGCCTCCTAGGCGGGTTGGGTCTTTTTTCGGTGCCGAACCCGGAGGACGAAGCAGTCGAAACCGAAGAAAACAAATCGAAGCTTGAAGCGAAACGTCGACTGCAACCTCCGTCGTCTGCGAGTATAAGCTTTGTGAACATATTTGCAGAGTATAGCCGCCCGGCTACACTGTTAAAATATTCGACGGCTATACTTTTAAAATATTCGAATGTATTTAGCAAGTATAGCCGACCAGCTATACTGTAAAAAGATACTAATATATTTGGCGAGTATAGCCGCCCGTCTATACTCTTTAAATATACAATTTTGTCATATCATTTTAAGGTATATATTTTATAGTCTAAACCTGCCGGGGTCTTCTTCTTTTTTTTTCTTTTTTTTTTAAGTTTCATTTTTAAATAAATAGTATCGTTGTTGCAGCGATATTCCTCTTAAAAATAATATACTTTAAATTACCAAAAAGGGTATAGCATACTTGGGCGCTGTATTGCTATGTGGGTGCTAAGCGCTATGCTGGTCATCCTTTAAAAAAATAAATAGTATTTAAATACAAGGGTATAGCCATGCGGCTGGACTGGGGTTTTAATAAACAGTATAGCCATGCGGCGCGGCTATACCGGCTAATGATAATATTATTTTCTGTTGGTCTACCATCCAGAGATAACGAAAGTCAACTGCTCCGAACTACAGTCCATATACTCCATTAGGTGTTGCTGTATTTATATGCCCCAAAAAGATACATCACATTGCCCAGCATCCTGAGCTTCCCAAAGTGAAAGCATATGGGAAAGTGTTCACTGTAAACATGCAGGTATTTTTTCAGAATTGATTTATCTTGTTATCTTTTGTTTGTTATATTTTGGCAATATCTAATGATATTGCTCTGCGCCTTGTTGCAATTGCCTACTTATCCTGCTGCAATGTTTCTTGGTGATAGTGATGGAGAGGGGATGAGTCTTGTAATGTACTTCAAAGTTTCTGAGAATTTTGATAAAGACGTCTCTCCTCAATTCCAGGACAGCATCAAGGTAACTTATGCAACTTCATCCATTTGGATAGGCATGTACTTTATTCTGATGTACTCTCCCTGATGAAAATGTGGTCTTATGTATTGGAACACTCAGTCTGTTGATATATTTGAATGATGCTTTTAGAAAATGGTTGACGATGAGACGGAAAAAGTTAAAGGATTCGCAAAGGACTCCACTGTATCTTTTAGAGAAAGACTAAAGATCTTACTAATTGTCTTCCCAGCTACTCAACTTAACTATATACTGTAGGGTTTCTACTTTCTAATAAAGTATTGCCAATGCTGCTAATTGTGAAATTTTTTTAAGGTGAGAGACAGTTACAGACAGCTTTACCAAATTCATACAATTATCTTCTAATTAGAGTCAGACTCTCCATGCATAGTGCAGACTAAAAGAAACACACCCCTCACTGGTTCATCAGGTGTACTCAAGTTGAGCAGCCCTGGAATTCTTGTCCCTGTCGACCATAAGAACACTACAGGTCTTCCAACACATCAAGTTCTGCACAGAATCCAGTGGCACAGCTTTTGGATTCCGTAAATCTTGTTGTGATAGATGGCAATGGTCATAATGACTCTGATAATATTTTATGGCAGAGTTTTGATTACCCAGGTGATACATTAATACCAGGTATGAAGCTTGTTAGGAACAAAATCACAGGTTTTAATTGGCATCTTACACCCTGGAAAAGCATCCAGGATCCTTCTCAAGGACATTATCCATATCAACTTGGTCCTTATGGGTACCATGAATTAATTCTGAGGGAGGGTTCTGTTATAAAATATCGGACTGCACCATGGAATGGAATCCAATTTAGTGGGATGCATAATTTAAATCCAACATATGATTTTGTGTTGGATAATGATGATGAAGTATATTATGGTTATAGGCTTCTTAACCGCTCAACTCTTTTCAGGCTGGCATTAACTCAAGATGGATTTGGGCTGAGCTACATCGGGAGTGATGGAAACCAAGGTTGGGTTATTTATCTAATAGCAACGACTGATATCTGTGACAAATATGGAATATGTGGTCCGAATGGTGCATGTAGTATTGACAAGTCCCCAGTATGTAGCTGATTGAAAGGATTTATACCGACTTTCAACAAGACTGGGACTTGGTGGATTGGTCATATAGATGTGTGAGAAAGAGCCAACTGAATTGCAGTGGAGACATCTTTAAGAAGTACTCTGGGGTGAAATTACCAAGTACAGAACAATCCTGGTATAACACAAGTATGAACCTCAAGGAATGTGAGATGATGTGCATGAACAACTGCTCCTGCACTGCTTTTCAAATTTGGATATCCGTGATGGAGGAAGGGGGTGCTCGCTGTGGTTCAGCGATCTGGTTGATATAAGATATTCCAATATAAATGGGCAAGATATTTACATAAGAATTGCTTCGTCAGAACTAGGTATGGAATCATCTTGCGGTTTCAAACAAAGTTTGAAAGAAAAATAAAAACCAAGGAAAAAAGAAGAAAGAAATCTTCCAACAGTGACATGATTAGAAACAAGATAGAGCCAGAAAACTTTTGACATTGTTAGAAAAATATTTCTTTAGAACTGTCTCAGAAACTAGCATTAATTGTTCGTTGGATGATAAAAAGTAAATATTTGTTTCTTTATGAATTTCTGACTCCTCAAATCTTCTGCTTTCAAATACTTCATTCCTAGATCAAGGACACAATACAAAGATCATAGTAACCAGTACTGTGTTGTCCACTGGACTGCTGATCCTGGGCCTTCCCCTGCTATTATATGTGAGGAAGAACCAGCAACAAAAATATGGTAAGCTATTTGATTTTCTACTCTTCTGCCCCTTCATTTTCTGAGATAGGTAGGTTCAGTTCTATGGAAATTTTTGCTGTTGCCTCTCTGGTTTCTAAGCTAAGGTTCCATGCTACATTATTTACTTCACAACGCACTTCACAGGAGAACTGAAGCCCGGCCAAAAGGAAGATCTGGAATTGACATTATTTGACTTGGCCGCTGTTGTTTGTGCAACCAAAAACTTTTCAAACAACAATAAACTTGGAGAAGGTGGTTTCGGATCAGTCTTTAAGGTAAAATCAAATATAGTCCTCCCTAAATTTAGCTTGACAGTTTCCACATGTCATTTGGGTCAGGACTATGGATACAAGTCGTATATTGAACGTTTGCGAACAACAGAGTATGGATTTTGGTAATCATATGTGGCTAGTGGATTTCAGGGTACATTAAAAGATGGACAAGAAATAGATGTGAAAAGGCTCTCAAAACATTCTAGACAAGAACTCAATGAGTTGAAGAATGAGGTTACACATGAAGAGAAACAGAGGATTTCAATGAGCTGAAGAATAGGTGGGTTGGTACTAGAGATGGCGAGTGGGAAGAGGAACAGAGGATTTACTCATTACTTGTTTCTGTTTCTTCTTTTAATTAAGCACAATGGTTTTGAACTTCTGATCAATTCCTTTAGGCATGGATGCTATACACAGAAGGCAGGTCCATTGAAGTGCTTGATGCATCAGTAGGGGACTCCAGTGATCCACATGAAGTTGTGAGATCAATTCATGTAGGTCTTTTAAGTGTGCAGCATAACCTGGCAGATAGACCGAGCATGCCAGCTGCAGTTGTAATGCTGAGTGGTGAAGGGTCATTGCCTCAACCTCAAAAACCTGGTTTTTATAGTGAATGGGATCTCAATCAACTCGAAGTCGATCCTTCGTCTTAAGCATTTTCAGCTAATGAAGTCACAGTCATTTTACACTAATGGAGGCTCAATAAACGATATTTCATGTTGGTGTGTTAGTCTGGTGCTTTTGAAGTCAGTTTGAAAAGTTAAATATAATTAAGAGATTCCCAACCCATGCGTTAGCAAATGCACCCTCTAATTTTCTTTATTTGTTTTCTTTGGAGTTGGGGTGGAGTTCACACAATAGAAACACAGATGCTGATACAAGAACAAATATAAAAACTTAAATGAATTAGATTTTTCACTTGTGGTGGTGTAATCTTTCAATTTTTTTTTCTGTTTTTTGGTGGGTTGGTTTTGGGTTCCTATGCAACAGGAGGAGGAGACAAATCTTCCTTTTTTCTTTTTCTTTTTTTCTCTCAGCAAACCAGAGGGCATGATCAAATGTCAAAATCTATAACAGAAATGCAATATCCAAAGAATGAAAAGCAGTCCAATCAAGAAGAAACTAGCAAATATTAGTGAATCAGCAAAACTTATGAATTTAGCAAATAAAGAACCTGAAGCCAGTTTCAAGCAGAAAAAACTTACTTGTGTAATATGAAGAGCCTGCTCAAGCCGCTGAATTTGAATCCATTGTCTGTAACAATGTCAGCCATCTGAAAGCAAAGAGAAAGAAGCCAATGGCAAAATGAACATCACACTAACAACGTCACACACTCATAGCCATTGACCAAAGATGGATTGAGTACATTAGCGCATGACCTTTTGAGCCTAAGAGGCAACCGTTTCGAGTCTATCCTCAGCATCTTGTGCTTTAGACTCTAAAACATGAAGATCGAAGTTGTACTCTAATTCAACTTCTACAGTATATTAACTTCTACAATATATTAACTCTAATTCAAATCACAGCACGAGTTGTTGAAATCACGGTAGAATACACATATGTAACATCTTAAATGGCGAAGTTACCCACTTCCAAGGAGCATCTCGAGCAGGAAGATTCGAAGGCTTTAGACTGAGACTAGCAAAAATATTCTCGAGATCTCTTTCTTCACTATCTGCATGATTATGTTCAACAACACAAGTGTTACCACATAAAGGAAGGAAGGCAGGTTCAATAAACGACAAGGCAACAAAATTACCAACCAGTCACAACTGTGCTACAATTTCAATGTTGCGAAGATATATACTCTTAACTTGTTAGGAAAGAATTGGACACCCAAATATAACACCTAAATATATTACCAATTTTATTAAACTTAAAAGAAGACTTAAAGTATAACCAATTCTGCAGTTCCAAAATAAATAAAATAATAATTTGTAAGTCATATCCCTTGCCTGGACTGGAAATAGGTGATGAGTGCCTTATTGTTGGAACTGTGCGTGGCTCCTTTACTATTTTGGACTCCATCTTCTTATAAGAAGTTTCACCAATTAACTAAGACATCCGTTAATTGCTTCTCCCCAACATGCTCATTTCCGGAAGCTACGGAAGTCTTTGTTTCTCCTATAATTGAGATAAGAAATCATAAGCATTGCACATATAGCATCCATTTACCACAGGAATAAAATGCTATCTTCACACTTATAATAACACATCCAAAATATTTTACTAACCAAATTCTATTGCGTGAACTCTACAATAAGAGCAATTTATAATTTTTCTTTTTATAAGAAACACAAATTTAAGTTACAAACTTTCATTAAAACAAAGAAAGAGAATCGTGATGCAGAAGACACTGTTGATAATAATAGTGAACATTATTTGTACCATTCCTTATACTCAGTTCTGATGATTTGACTTCAGTAGCAGGCAAAGTTGCATCTACTAGATGGTCACTGGAACCATATTCCTTTGAATTCTGCTAACCAAGAGGAGCCTTTGGTTCTGAAAAAGACATAAGAGCAACCAATTTTACCACTAAGAGTATATCAAAAAGCAAAAACTTTCACCATCTAGCATGTACTCAATCATCCATATATACAAGGGGAGAATGGAGATGATGTGGCTCATAGAATCAAAGCACGATAGGTAAAATGAAGGGTTTTGTTAAGCATATATATAGTGTGATCATCATATTATGCTAGAATTGAAAGCTAAGTTCATAGAACATCTGTTAGACCAGCCATGCTATATGGGACTGAATTCTGGACAGTTAGAAAACAGACATATTCGTAGTTCCTGTAGGTACATATTAGCCAAATGTTACAACCAGCACAGTGATATGCACACCTCCATCTCTGTTTCTCTAACGGCATATTAGCCATTATTAGACACAAATTGTTAAGAGATCAGATTAAAATATTTGTCACCATTTGAATCCTTCAAAATTGGAGATGTTTGCTGAATAATCTTTGCTATCTTTCAAAATTGAAGGGTCATTGCCTCAACCTTAAAAGCCTGGATTTTTTAGTGAAAGGGATGTCAATGAACTCGAGGTCTATCCTTCTTCTAAAGCATTTTTGGCTAATGAAGTCACAATCCTTTTACACTAATGGAGGCTCGATAAACGATATTTCATGTTGGTATGTTAATCTGGTGCTTTTGAAGTCAGTTTGAAAAGTTAAATATAATTAAGAGATTCCCAACCCATGCATTAGCAAATGCACCCTCTAATTTTATTTTATTTTGTTTTCTTTGGAGTTGAGGTGGAGTTCACACAACAGAAACACAGATGCTGATACAAGAACAAATATAAAAGCTTAAATGAATTAGATTTTTCACTTGAGGTGGTGTAATATTTCAATTTTTTTTTCTTCTGTTCTTTGGTGGGTTGGTTTTGGGTTCCTATGCAACACAGGAGGAGGAGATAAATCTTTCTTCTTCTTTTTTTCTTTTTTTTCTCTCAGCGAACAAGAGGGTATGATCAAATGTCAAAATCTATAACATAAATGCAATATCCAAAGAATGAAAAGCAGTCTAACCAAGAAGAAACTAGCAAATATTAGTGAATCAGCAAAACTTATGAATTTAGCAAATAAAGAACCTGAAGCCAGTTTCAAGCCGAAAAAAAACTTACTTGTGTAATATGAAGAGCCTGCTCAAGCCGCTGAATTTGAATCCATTGTTTTGTAACAATGTCAGCCATCTGAAAGCACAGAGAAAGAAGCCGACGGAAAAATGAACAGCACACTAACAACATCGCACACTCATAGCCATAGACCAAAGATGAATTGAGTACATCAGTGCATGACCTTTTGAGCCTGAGAGGCAACCGTTTTGAGTCTATCCTCGGCATCTTGTGCTTTAGACTCTAAAAAATGGGCCTAGGCGGGCTGCTAGGCGGCTAGGCGGGCGTCTAGGCGTCTAGGCGGGCGCTAGGCTGCTAGGTGAGTGCTAGGCGGTTGGGTGGGCCTCGTAGGCGGATTGGGTCTTTTTTCGGTGCTGAACCCGGAGGACGAAGCATCCGAAACCGAAGAAAACAAATCAAAGCTTGAGTTGATAGAGAAGCGAAACTTTGACTGCAACCTCCGTCCTCTGCGAGTGCAAGCTATATTTAAAGAGTATAGCCGTTCGGCTATACTCTTAAAATATTCGAATGTATTTAGAAAGTATAGCCGACCGACTATACTGTTAAAATATACTAATATATTTGGCGAGTATAGCCGCCCGGCTATACCCTTTAAATACACAATTTTGTCATATCATTTTAAGGTTTGGGGCTGAAATACCGCTTCAGTCCATTTGGCTAGAGTTATTTCTTCAAATATTTTATTTGTATAAGCGATATTGGGGAATGAGATTTTAAATTCTTTCCAATACCTCTCATTCTAATGATTTCCAGCTATTAGCCCATTGGGAAAGAATAAAAAAATGAATTTTATTTATAACAAATAACGCAGGTTAAACCCATAAATACAACAACAAAAAATCGGATGTCAATAAACTCAAGGTCAATCCTTCTTCTAAAGCATTTTCAGCTAATGAAGTCACAGTCCTTTTACACTAAGGGAGGCTCGATAAATGATATTTCATGTTTGTGTGTTAATCTAGTGCTTTTGAAGTCAGTTTGAAAAGTTAAATATAATTAAGAGATTCTCAACCCATGCATTAGCAAATGCACCCTCGAAAGAAAACCTAGGTTTTATGCCTAACTATTTCCCATGTTTTATATCAACTAGCCTTTCTACATGCGCTTCCGCGCCTACACCAGTGAGGGTCGAGTGAAGCCTGAGCATAAGAAGTGGTCTCAACAACACTTGAAATTTGGTTAACAAAAGCTTTGTGTGAAGGAGATAAAGAGGTGTAAGAAATGTAATTGGACAAAGGAAACTAAGTACCTGACTTCTTGGAAGATGATGACCCATTTGTAGCTTGATTGCAGTGAAAATCATGTAAGAGAATGGATGGTTGAGAGACACGTTGGCTACGACAAAGTGGTGGAGAGGTTGGGATATTTTATGGGGAAGGAAAGTCAGGAACATTGTCGATGTCACGGGGCGATCGATCGTCGTGAGAGGTGCGATCGATCGTTTCTTCAATTGGAGAGTTCGAATGCTCTCTGTCAAAAAGCGATCGATGGGCGATTGATCGTTTTTGGACAGTTTGTGGTTTTGGACGTTGTTTGAAGGTGGAATTGTGTTTTAAAGGGAAAAATGTCTAGAAACGGGTTAGGAAAAGGTGTGGAAGCAATGGGATATGTGTTTGATAATGAGGTGTGGTAAGGAAATACATATTCATGAAACACGATGTCACTAGTAGAGAAAAACTTGTGTGTGGAAAGGTTATAAACTCTATAAGCCTTTTGGCCCAATGAATATCCCACAAAGACACAACGACGAGCCCTAGGTGAAAATTTGGAAGGTGAGTGGGTGTTGGTAGCATAACAAAGGCACCCAAAGACACGAATATGAGCATATGTGGGAGGTGTTTGGTGAAGCATTTCATATGGTGATTTTTTGTTGAGGGGGAAGGCGATTGATGAGGTAGGCAGCAATGAGAACACTTTCTCCCCAAAAAGGAAGAGGAAGATTAGCTTGAAATTGAAGAGCTCGACCAACATTAAGTAAGGGCCTATGTTTGCGTTCAACCACACTATTTTGTTGTGGAGTGGAAGGGCATGAGCGTTGAAAAGTGATGCCATGTTCACCAAAGAAAGAGATCATAGACACAAATTCAGTCCCATTAACAGAACGAACACTTTTGACAGAATAATGAAAGTGATTGTGGACATAAACAAAGAAATTAGTGTCAGATTTGTGATGCATGAGGTGAAGCCAAGTGTAGCGTGTGTAATCATCAACAATGGTGAGAAAGTATCTTGCGCACCCGAATGAGATGCAACGCGGTGAGGACCTCAAATATAACAATGAATTAAATCAAAAGGACGAGCAGTTTTTATTGAACTGGAAGAAAAAGGCAAACGAGTTTGCTTAGCTAAAGGGCATACATCACAATGATGGTGCAAATAAAATAAAATACCAGAAATTGTTTGAGACTAAAATTTGGATGGTTCTTTGGAGGGATTACCTAAGCGTTGATGCCAGAGAGCAACGAATTTGTGATTGAGGTGGCATGTGGTGGTGTTGGATGTGGATGGTGGAGTGGTAACATTCTCTTTCGTGAGCAAGTAGTATAAGCCATTAACTTGTTTCCCAAGGCCAATCATCCACTTTGAAGTCAAGTCCTGTAAGACACAAAAGGTAGGGAAGAAGTGAATAGAACAATTGAGACTAGATGTAAGTTTTCTAACAGAAGGTAAATTAACATGAAAGTAAGGCACACAAAGAACTCCATCAACAGATAAGTTTGGACCTAGAGATGGGGAACCAAGGCCACTGATTTTCGCATGAGACCCATCAGGAAGATCAACAGTGGAGTTGAGTGGGGTAGTAACAGATAGCCCGGAAGGAGGCGCAATGTGATTAGTGGCTTCACTGTCAGGTATCCAAGGATTTGTGGATGATGAGCCCGTGAAGGCACAAAAAGAAGGTATTTTACTTATGAAATTAGCACGAGGTTTACCATCACAAAGCAAAGACTTGAGTTGAGCATACTCCTCAGTGGAGAATTTTGTTAGTTCTAGGGAGAAGAGAGGCTTAGGATAATAGCTTGATGATGAATAGAAAGCTTTGAAAGAGTAACAAGATAATTTTATTTTATTGATTGAAATAAGAAGGGTACAAGAGAGATAGTTGGATACAAGAGGTGGCTGATGGGGGTTTAGACAGCTGGTAGTTTTTCAACTTTCTTAACTTGAATACATAAGTGGGCTGCTATAGCTATATATAGAGTAGCTAAACCGACACAAAGGATGGTAAATATCTAGTGAAGTCGGTTATTGCATAGTAACCGACTTCCAAAGTGTTTTCCAGCCACTAGTTATAATATAAGTCTAGAATTTTCTAGTTACAAAACATTATATAATTAATAGGATGTTTCTAGTGTAGAGCTCAAATTTGACTTGTCATCTTTTCTCAATTTTTCTAAACTTTCTATATTATTCTAGTACAAGTGTGCATTATTATTTTTTTAACAAATTTGAAACCTTCTGCTGCGGGTGGTGGAGTAGATTGGGTCTGAAAGAGGTAAGGATCAGTATGATCCATAGTTTCAGTTGGAGGAATTTTGGCTTCTGTTTGGGAGGTGTTGATAGCGTCACCCATGAAGAGTTAGACGGCTAGGGTTTGTAAACAAAGAGACACCTAGAATCGGAGCTCTGATACCATGTCAAATTGGAGACTCTGTTGAGAAGAATATTTCTCTATGTGTTGATAGAGCCAGAAGGCTAAGTATATAGAAAGATTTACAAACCCTATAAGGAATCCTAGGTTCTTGGAGACTACTTTTAAATGAATTACAATCAATTATAGAAAAGGAAATAAAGAAACTTCCTAATTTCCGTTCCATCTTTCCTTTGACCAACGAGTCCTCGAACCAACCTGTTACCTTACAACTAAGATTTTGCCTCTTTCGGCCTTCCCTCTTTCTTCATGTTTTTTTTTTTTTTTTTTTTTTTTTTTTTTTTTTCAAAGTTTGATTAAAAATTTGCATGCTCCAACGTTCATAATGAAATATTTGAATCACTGTATGATCAGGAGGAAAATGGAAGAAATTGATGAAGGTCCAAATGACATAGAAAACGCATACGATTTGATGCTGGAATTGGGTGGCTTCTCCTTGTCCCCTTTGCGGTGTATCTACAGAGTTCCTAAGCGACTACGGCAGGGAAACGATGACGAAGCCTACACACCTCAGGTAGTCTCTATAGGCCCACTACACATGGAAAGGAACACTTAAATGTTATGGAATATCACAAAAAGAGGTATCTACGAGATTTTCTATGTAGAAACCAGTTAAACTTGGAGTTTTATAAAAGGAAAATAAAGGGCCAAGAAGTAAAATTGAGAAGTTGTTATGCAGAACCGATTGGGTATAGCAGTGAAGAATTTCTAAGAATCATTCTAGTGGATGCCGCCTTCATTATTGAGTTTTTGTTGAGGTACAATAACCCAAAATTTCGAGATGAGGATGACTACATATATAATAAGCCATGGATGCGCATTGATGTATTGTTAGAGTTTTGAATAGGTTGAGAGAGAAGAAAGAATGCAGAGATAAGAGAAAGCAGAGAATGAATCAATTCGTATGTATTTTCTTCTATTGCACTATTCTGTCTATTTTGAATGAGCACGCTATCTGTGAGCTATATGTCTAGCTGGATACAATTACATCACTTTGTATCTCAGCCCTTCATCTATAACTGCTTAATAAAAACATTACACGTGGCTTATAAACCTTTTACTACTAAAGCCTAACACCAGTCATTTTTATTGACTGAGAGAATACACCATTAGCTGACCAGGCTTAATTCCATTTCCTATCAGCTCACTACTTACATTTCAACACTCCCCTTTAAGTTGTGAGCTGATTTCACACCAAGCTTCTCTCTAAGATAGCTGAACCGATCCTTGGCCAAAGCCTTTGTAAAGATATCTGCTAGCTGCTCATTCGTAGGGCAATAGATCAAATCCACAGTTCCTTCTTGCAAAGCATCTTTAATAAAATGATACCTCCGATCAATATGCTTGGTTTTCTGATGGAAAACAGGATTCCTTGTAATGGCAATAGCTGAAATGTTGTCACAGTGGAGAGGTGTAGCTTCTGTTTGAAGTTCTCCAAAGTCTTCTAGGACAAATCTCAACCAAATAGCTTGTGTTGTTGCTTCAGAGGCACTGATGTATTCAGCTTCTGCAGTAGAGAGTGCAACACAATTTTGCTTGACTGAGGCCCAAGCAAACACTCCACTCCCAAAAGAAAAAGCGTATCCAGATGTGCTCTTGCTATCATCCACTGAGCCACTCCAATCGCTGTCACAATAGCCAATTAGAACTGCCCCTTTTCCTTTCACATACTCCAGACCATAATCCAAGGTTCCTTTTACATATCTAAGGACACGTTTTGCTGTTCCAAGGTGTTTGCTAGTGGGACAATGCATAAACCTTGCAAGCAGACTAGCTGCAAACATAATGTCGGGTCTAGTAGCTGTGAGATACAGCAGACTCCCAACAATCCTTCTATATTGCTCTTCACTTGCCAAACCACTCCCATCATCCTTACTTAGTTTCTCTGAGGTAACTAGTGGAATAGACACCGGTTTACACTCACTCAAACCAAATCTGTTTAACAGAGTTGTTGCATATTTCTTCTGATGAATGAATATGCTTGTTGGTGTTTGAATGACTCCCATTCCCAAGAAGTGATGCAAGAGCCCCAGATCAGTCATTTCATATTTCTCCTTCATGTCCTTCTTGAAGTCTTCTAACATCTCTTGATCATTTCCAGTGTAGACAATATCATCTACATAAATGGATACTATCAATATGCTTGCTTCACCTCTTGTTTTGACATAAAGAGTAGCTTCACTTTGGCTCTTTGTGAAACCACACTCAGCAAAATAACCATCAATTTCACTATACCAAGCTCTTGGAGCCTGTTTCAAGCCATAGAGAGCTTTGTGCAGCTTGTAAACCTTGCTTTCACTCCCCTTTATCACAAATCCCTCCGGCTGATCTACATACACTTCTTCCTCTAAGACACCATTTAGAAAAGCTGACTTAACATCTAATTGGTACAGCTGCCAACTCTTCTGTGCAGCTAGTGCAATTAGAGTTCGGATTGTGTCTAATCTAGCCACAGGTGCAAACGTTTCATTGTAGTCCACCCCTGGTTTCTGAGAGTATCCTTTAGCTACTAACCTTGCCTTATTTTTCTGAACTGAACCATCCAGATTTAGCTTAGTTTTAAACACCCATTTAACCCCAATCACTGGTTTATCCATATGCCTGTCAACAAGCTCCCATGTATCATTCTTTTCTATCATGTTCAACTCATCTTTCATTGCCTTCATCCATGACTCATCCTTCACAGCTTCTTCAAACTTCTCAGGCTCCATTGTGCACAGATTGCATTGTGCCAAAATATCATCCAACTTCCTCCATTTCAAAGGAGTGTGATCAAAGTTCTGAGTGTCTTCCAATCTGCTGCTTGCCTTGCTTGATCCTCCATAAGAAACTGAGTCTAAAGGTCTGAAACCAGAATTTCTATTTCCTGCAGGTGTCTCAAACACTTCCACTTGAGAATTCCTAGGCTGTTCTTCTTCATTCACCATTATCACAGAATTTTCAGCTGCTTCTTTCCAATTCCAGGTTGCCCCTTCATCAAAAACAACATCTCTTGACAGTATAAGTTTTCTAGTGACAGGATCAAACACCCTATAACCCTTCTCACATGTTGCATATCCAACAAACACTCCCCTTGTGCTTTTGGCATCCAATTTTTGTCTATTTTCTTCTGGTTTATGCACAAAACACACACTGCCAAATACCTTCAAATGAGCAACACCTGGTTTTCTTGTGCTATATGCTTCAAAAGGAGTCTTGTCTCTAAGAGCCTTGGTAGGACACCTGTTCAACAGATACACTGCAGTGTGTACCGCTTCTGCCCATAAGTAATAAGGCAACCCCTTTTCATGTAGCATAGCCTTAGCCATCTCCACCACTGTCCTATTCTTCCTTTCTACCACTCCATTCTGCTGGGGTGTGTAAGCCATGGTGAACTGTCTTTGAATTCCTCCATCTTCACACAGTTTATTGAATTCACTAGATGTGAACTCACCCCCTCTATCACTTCGAACACATTTCACTTTGTAACTACTCTGCAACTCCACCATAGACTTGAATTTTCGAAAACAATTTAGTGCATCCGACTTGTATCTCAAGAAGTAGACCCAAGTCATCCTTGTAAAATCGTCTATGAGCAGCATAAAATATTTATTACCTGCCAGGGACTCAGTTTGCATTGGTCCACACAAGTCCATGTGTATTAGCTCAAGGGGTGTACTTGCCCTCCATGCTTGGTTCTTAGGAAACCATTCTCTATGTTGTTTCCCAAACTGACATCCTTCACAGACTCCATCTACAGCTTCCAGATGTGGCAGACCATGCACCATCTCCTTTTCCTTGAGCTGGTTCAGCCCTTTTAAATGTAAATGCCCCATTCTCTTGTGCCAAATCCAGGTAAAGTGAGACACACCAGCTCTTAATGCAACATAGGTATTTGAAGACAAAGACAATGGATAACATCTATTCTTTCTCATTTCCACCTTCATAATAAGGTTTTCCAGTGAAGCATCATCAAAAATACTGCACATATTGCTTCCAAACACCAAATGGTAACCATGTTCATCCATTTGACCCACACTTAACAAGTTCTCTCTCAGACCAGGCAGATACATGACCTCCTTGATAAACTTTGTACCAGAGTTTGTGTCAAGCACTAAAGTGCCCATGCCAGCTATGCTTACAAGCTCCCCTGTTGGCATTTGTACCTTGCCTGTGACACTTGGATTTATGTCAATTAACAGCTCCTTGTTCCCAGTCATATGATTACTGCAGCCACTGTCTACATACCATTCTCCATTTGCACTCTTCTCTGAAATTGCACAATTAGCAAAAAACAGATTTCCTCTTACTTCTACTTGACTTGCATTGTTTGCTTTCTGCACTTCTTTGTTTGCAGTACAATCTCTAGCCCAATGTCCAAATCTATCACACTTATAACACTTAGATTGGCCCTTATATCTACATTCCCCAAAATGGAATTTCGAGCAAACTTTGCATTGAGGCTTCACTCCATCTTGATGCACATATTGTGATCCATTTGAGGTCTGTGCAGCACCAGATTGTTGTGGCTTCTGCCTAGACTCCCATGGTTTATTGTTAGACTTCCAATTCTTCTGAGATTTAGCAGAACCAGTTTGAGAACCATTCTTATTCTGCCCTTTTGTTTCAACTGAGAAAGAACCAAAAGCCTTCTCAGCTGTATTGACAGGACCCGCCCCGAATTTCCCGGAACCCGAGACGAACCCTGCGGAGACCCCGGCATCACACCCACGCCGGGTTCACTCCTTAAATCTATGTCCTCTTTTACCAGAGAGGATTTAGGGCACGAGACTTTCTGCCAAAATTTCGGCAGAGTCTCCCCTGTAAATTGAACATTCCCCAAAATTTCCACCTGCATAAAACACATTTTATAACCCAACCAGCAGCACGCACAATATAATCTCATGCAATTGACATAAATGGCCTCCGGCCTTCAAATGATTCTAGCAGAACTACTCACACTGCTTTCAAAATAACTCCATGCATCACACATGCACAAATCCAATTCGAAATCCATCCATACACACCTTCACTCACTCAGTCCACCGGACAAGCCTCAATTCAACCAAGTTTCGGGACCAACCACGAGGTCCGCATCATACTCGATAAAACCACCTAAGTGGTGTCTAAGTCGTGGCTGCACCTAGGCGCTATCCCAGGCTGCCTACGTACCCTACTAAGGGATCAAGCCACACGTAGCTCTTTCCTATCAATCCCGGCTCCTAATATCAAATCAACCATTCCATCCATATAAATTCATACATTCTACGGTTTCATCCATCTCAACACACCAAACACAATCACATAGCTCCCCTCATACGACGGGACGCACCCGGCCTCGTATGGGGTCTGTCTACACGCCGGCTAATCCAAAGACGCGTGCGACCTCACACTGGGCCTGGCTACATTCTCACCAGCCATCATACCATCATATCTCCCACTCATACGTCGGGACGTACCCGGCCACGTACGGGGTCTGTCAACACGCCGGCTAACCCAAAGACGCGTGCGACCTCACACTGGGCCTGGCTACCTTCTCACCAGCCCTCACACAATCATAACTCCCACTCATACGTCGGGACGCACCCGGCCACGTACGGGGTCTGTCAACACGCCGGCTAACCCAAAGACGCGTGCGACCTCACACTGGGCCTGGCTACATTCTCACCAGCCCTCACACAATCATATCTCCCACTCATACGTCGGGACGCACCCGGCCACGTACGGGGTCTGTCAACACGCCGGCTAACCCAAAGACGCGTGCGACCTCACACTGGGCCTGGCTACATTCTCACCAGCCCTCACACAACCATATCTCCCACTCATACGTCGGGACGCACCCGGCCACGTACGGGGTCTGTCAACACGCCGGCTAACCCAAAGACGCGTGCGACCTCACACTGGGCCTGGCTACATTCTCACCAGCCATCATACCATCATAACTCCCACTCATACGTCGGGACGCACCCGGCCACGTACGGGGTCTGTCAACACGCCAGCTAACCCAAAGACGCGTGCGACCTCACACTGGGCCTGGCTACATTCTCACCAGCCATCACCATCATAACTCCCACTCATACGTCGGGACGCACCCGGCCACGTACGGGGTCTGTCAACACGCCGGCTAACCCAAAGACGCGTGCGACCTCACACTGGGCCTGGCTACATTCTCACCAGCCCTCATACAACCATATCTCCCACTCATACGTCGGGACGCACCCGGCCACGTACGGGGTCTGTCAACACGCCGGCTAACCCAAAGACGCGTGCGACCTCACACTGGGCCTGGCTACATTCTCACCAGCCCTCACATAACCATAACTCCCACTCATACGTCGGGACGCACCCGGCCACGTACGGGGTCTGTCAACACGCCGGCTAACCCAAAGACGCGTGCGACCTCACACTATCACTTGGGCCTCAACATAATCACAATATGGGGGTACGTGGGGTAGTGCGTATAGCACTGTAAACTAACATTCAATCTCCTTATATATCATTATACCTCCATACAATCAATTAAATATATCATATAATTTCTAATCATACAATAACATCAACCAATAAAACATTCCATAAACTCCCACATTTAAATTCACCAATTTATATCCTAAACCCACAATATCCATTTAACTCAACAACGCTCAAGACCTGTCACTAAGGTCATCCTAACCCTCAAGGAAAGGTAAGACTATCTCGGGAGTCTCACGGTCAACCTAGGGTCAAACGGGCCTGGGGGGGGGCCCACAACCTCCAAACTCCAATCCGAAAGTTCCTATAGGTTCTATAGGCTCTAGGACACATGTCCTGCAAGTTTGGTCCAGATCGGACGGTCGGATTGCTCATGATCACACAATCGGACAGTTACTAAAACCCTAACCCCAGGGTTGGCATTTCCGGAGTATCCGGGACTCCGTTTTACGATCCGTCGAATCCTACACGATCCTGGTAATACCTAGATCAACATATTATAATATCAGGACCATCCAACGGTCCAAACCCAGCGAACCCGGAAAATACGCGATATGCGATATCCGTTCGGGACTCTAACAATATCCAAAATGAGATCCGAGCACACCTACGCTCATGACAACCTGAGGATCCCATTGGGACAAAAATGCCCCTCAGCTACAGTGCCCACGCGCCGCCACACGCGCCGGCAGCGCGTGGGTGTCCAAAGCGATATCGCATCGCCGGAAAAACCACAGATCACGGCTCAAGACTCCTACCCTAGGTAATACACCTAATTTGGAGTCACTTTTGTTCTTGGACGTACCCCAAAAACTGACCGGAAGTGGCCGGAATCTCATCCCGAAATCCGGCCGAAACCCAATTCGTAAATCGAGTTGCCTACGCTACAAATCGATCAATTCCTACCCAACAGGCAGCTAGAGCTCGGAAAATAGGTGAGAAACCATACCTCACTTGCCGGAATCGGTGGTCGGACGACGGAGAACGAAGCCGGCGAAGTTTCTGTCAAAACCGGAGCTTTTCTCCTCGTTTTCCGGCGAAATCACGGCAGCTGGCGGCGGGACCTGGCCGGGGTAGGAAGAGGACGGCGGCCCGGTCATTTTGGTACCGGCCCCGTCGACTTTGGTGGCCGGACGAGCGAACGGCCGGCCAAAACGTGGTCGGCCACGGTGGCTGTCGCGAACCAGAGGAGAGAGAGAGCGACGCGCGGGAGAGAGAGAGTGTCTCCGAGAGACGGGGGCAATTCCGTCTTTTAACCAAAAATCCCACTTCAAAATATTTACGATTATGCCACTGAGCTTCATTTGATCATATCTCTCTCGTTACAACTCCGATTCGAGCCCACTACATGTCTACGAATTCATCTCGCCGTGCTCTACGCAACGGTACATCCGGAATTCCCAAATTCCTTCCGGGCAAGAAAATGACTAAAATACCCCTATCCCACGGGTAATTTCTTAATTTCACTCAAATTAATTAAAATAGGGGATAAATTTGGGGTCGGGGTGTTACATGTATCCACATTATGCATATCAAACCGCTGCTCTTGACTCTTCAATATTGCAATAACCTCCTGCAATTCAATAGTCTCCAAACTCTTTGTATTTTCAATCACCAAACAGATAGGATCATAGACTCTACTAAGACTAATTAATACCTTTTGAACCAGCCTCTCGTTTGATAACACTTCTCCAAATGTTTTTATTTGATTTATCAACTCATTCAACCTAGTAAGATATGCAGTTAATTGTTCACCTTCACGCATTCTCATATACTCAAACTCTCTTCTGAGATTCTGAAGTTTCACTGACCTGACTTGATCACCACCGTGATATTCACCATGAAGCAAATTCCACGCCATCTTGGCTGAGTCAGCGTTGGCAATCCGAGGGAAGATCTGGTCAGAAACTGCGTTTTGGATGATGCCCAGAGCCTTCGCGTCCCTCATGAGCACAGCGATCATCTCTGCATCAGGTTCTTCTTCTGATGCCTCTTCAGCCGTTTTCTTCTTCTTCGAATCAGGAGTTGGAATCCCCTTTTCTACCAGACTCCATAGCCCAAGCGATTTGAAAATCGTTGTCATCTTAATCCTCCAGAACTCGTAGTTCTCACCGGAGAAGATCGGGGTTCTTACTTCAGAACTTCCAGATCCAGCCATCTTTTGGTCCGATTCAAGCAATTTCTTCTCAGTTGCTGAGCTGAGCTTCGATTGAGCTCAGTGACCTCACAGATTACGCCCAGATCAAAAGACCCAACCTGGCTCTGAGGCCATGTTAGAGTTTTGAATAGGTTGAGAGAGAGATGAAAGAATGCAGAGATAAGAGAAAGCAGAGAATGAATCAATTCGTATGTATTTTCTTCTATTGCACTATTCTGTCTATTTTGAATGAGCACGCTATCTGTGAGCTATATGTCTAGCTGGATACAATTACATCACTTTGTATCTCAGCCCTTCATCTATAACTGCTTAATAAAAACATTACACGTGGCTTATAAACCTTTTACGACTAAAGCCTAACACCAGTCATTTTTATTGACTGAGAGAATACACCATTAGCTGACCAGGCTTAATTCCATTTCCTATCAGCTCACTACTTACATTTCAACATGTATTGGCTGACTTGCGGATGCTTGAAAATCAGTTGCCACTTTTCATTCTGAAGGATCTTTTTGACCCAGAGAAATATTTTGATTATGCTGATAATCCTTCAATAATTAGTCTTTCTTACGCTGTGTTCAATACTCCTTTCTTTTGGAAAGGAACAAAAGACGACGTTTTGGAGGGAAAAAGTTTTTGTGAAGTAAAACATTTTGTTGATTTGATAAGAACTTCTTGTCTACCATCGAAATTAAAAACTGATGAAAGGGAAGTCAAAAATATAAGAACACCCAGCATCACAGAGCTACACAGGGCAGGTCAAGTTGAAGGGGGGGATCAACGGATAACTTATTTGATATTCAATTTGCTGACGGGACTCTTGAAATTCCAAGATTGGAAATAAGCGATCAGACAGAGCTAATAATTAGAAATCTCATTGCATTTGAACAATGCCACTACGAGGAGAAGTACATAAGTAATTATGTACGTCTCATGGATTGTTTTGTGAACACCCCAAAGGATGTGGAGTTGCTTGTTAAGAATAGAATTATTGAAAATTGGCTAGGTGACAACAGTGAGGTGTCTACTTTGATTAATAAGCTTGGAAAAGGGGTTTGGATAAATGACAAGGACTTTTATTTTGCTACTGTTGCTGAAGCCCTGAACTCCCACTGCGGAACTCACTGGAACAAATGGAAGGCAATGTTGAGACAGAATTATTTCAACACACCTTGGACAATTATCTCTTTCGTTGCAGCTGTTTTCCTCCTCATACTCACTGTCATCCAGACAGTGTGCTCCATTATATCTATTGCTTAAGCATCAGCAACAGCAAGTGGATCTCTTTCTGTATTCTCCTTGTCCTTTTTCCATCACCAACGTAGTGAAGAAACAAAAAACAAGAGAAAGTTTGTATTGTATGTTGAGCAGTATGACTCCCCGTCTGTTAGTTAAACTTTTCTGTGTGCTTATTGACATTGTAGGGTGATATATGTACCAAGTATTGTATTGTATTGTGATTCGATCAATAAAAAGATAGTATTGTGAAGTGATGAAGCAAAGAAATACTACTTACATACTAGCTAGTTATTTATTATGACAACAAATGGATATTAATATAGCCGAAGTAAATATATAACATCCGAGTTTTTTACGTATGTATCCAAAATTTAGCCCATTATTTCATAAATGCCAATTTCTATAAAAACTTTCAAGAAAAAAGCCTCTCTTGGAACAGTTTTGCGCCGGCCGCACCATACATGGCTTCTCACAAAGCGTGTGACAAGTCCCACTCTAGAGCCAAGTGAAGCCGTCGCCGAAGATGGTCTTGATTCCGGTCCACTTCGTCAGATTGGAGTGCAACCAGTCGGACTTGGCACTGAAGAGTATATGTAGAAGAGTATTGGCATACTCTTACACTCAATTTCCTTTTCTAGTTGGAATTTACAAGGTTAATTAATATGATAGGGAGTTGATTTAAATTAGGAATTTCAGATAATTAATTGAGTGAGAAGCCATTATTAGGCTTTCTCTTCTGATAATCGGTTTCTTATTCGTTCACCAGATTCTAGCAGGAAGCTAATTTGGGGTCTCATCAAAGAAGGGATGCTAGGAAAGCCTGTGAATACGTATCTAACAAATAAAGCTGTGTATGTCCACCCAACTTGGAAGTTGCTTTGCCCTGATCTCGCTGTATTTCCATATGAAAAGCATGATGTGAAGAAGTGCCCCTGCTAACTAGGCCAGTTGCCAAGCTCCTGAAATGAGCTGAACTACGTAAATCCATCAGTCTTTTTTTCTTCCAAGTTTTCATATTTAACAAATTCAAACTGTATGTATCAGACTGTACGTTTTCTTGCCAAGACTTTTATTTGGCTGAAAATATTGTTATAATTGTATATACTATATAATACTAAACCGTTTCTCAGATATTTCTCTCATAAATTTCCGTACATGATATTGGAAACTTTTTTAAAGATAAATATAGGGTTGAGGAAAACAGGGGAAAAACAGGGGGAAAACAGCACGAGAACCACTACTTCTTGAATACAACAGGAACAAATCCATTAATTCATAGTTAATTTATTCCAACGAAATAAACGAGAACCACTGTAGCCTTTATGAGTGATACTAATTTAATTAAGGCAGATTCACTATTATACCAACTATAAGAGCTCAAATTATAAAAAAAAACCCTATATGAAATGGATTTTAGAAACACACCTAAAGCTCATTTACAACATAACAAAAAGACTTTTAACTTCTTTTAAATTACAAAACTGCCATTGATTTCTTAAAACAAACCCAATCCCAAAACCTCATGAAAAAACTCAAAACACTCAATAGGTTATCAAAGTAATTAATAATCAAAATTAAATTCAATAGGGCCACCTATCATTTTTGGGGTTTGTTTTATAGAAATTAAATGGTGTATGGTTTATTTATAGTTTTAGTGCTAAGAATAAGTATATGACTAAACATCTCTTTTAATTAACAGGAAAGGGATCCAATACATATTGAAGTTAAATTCAATGTATTCACACGGTCCACCCTTTTTTTATACAAGCGTATTATACTTTAATTTAATCTAAACTATGGGAACTTGAGTGCAGAATGGGGAGCACATCTACTCTGGCCAACTTAACTAAACTCATGTCTGCACACAATCCACCCCTTGGAACATCTCCATTAACCCTAAAAATGTTCATAAAAAAAAATCTCAAATAATTGGAAATATTTGATAATTAATATACGTCACAAATTATAGCTCTGGGAGCTTCTATATTTTTACATTCCCAAAAAAAAAACCAGTTAATATAAGAGTGAAATCAATGAAGTCATTAAACCAAGCTTGATGGTAAAGAACTGATCAAGAATAGCATAAGTCTTGATTTTCTGGTAAGTTTTTATTGCACATTGTTTTGTATAAGTTTGTTTTATATGTTGTGGATCTTGGTTTGACCAAAGTTTGCTGGCGTTACTCGGCTGATTGTATTCGCCATTTGTGGTTAGGGCTGAAGTAAGACGTTATTTATTAGATATTATATTAATGCTATTCGCTAGAGAACTTTTTTGGTATGAAAATGGCTCAAAGCGTCAAACTGTAGAGTTTTGCCGCCACCAGTCAAAATAGTTGAATGATTATCAAATTGGTCATTCTACTTAAGGGTGGCCATGGGAGGGAGGGGAGGGGCGGTGTTCTGCTTTCTGGGTTTTGTTGATTTATTTATTTTAGTTTTTAGTTTTTAAAATTTTCAAATAAGAATTCACGTGGTATAAAAGATTGGTGTGCCAACCACTCATGAGATCAGAAGTACTTGGACCTGCTTTAACCATACCCAGCATTACAGACCTATGAGATGCGGGAGTGAAGCTTAAGCTGATATCAAGTGAAAACAGATTTGACATACGATTCAGTAATGGGATTTCTGAAAATTTCAAAAATGACAATATGCGATGACAATATGTGATTCTTTGTTTTTTATTTTTTATCTTCAGTAATTTACACATATATCTTTGCGCATCATAACCGATTCTCACATTATTGTGATCATGAAACAATTCTTTGAATAGTCATCTCTTTCTCTACTTTTTCTTTTTGGTCTACATTTTTACCTCGCTAATTACTAGTTGCTACCACTTAGCAAGTCATCCTGATACATGACTCGAAACCCGCACAAGAAATTAGAGGGTCAACTCGACATGACACGTTTATTAAACGGGTCAGGTTTTTATTGAGCATTCTTAACACGTATATGATCTTGACACGACACGCATCCGACACAACACATTATCAACCCTACCTGTATTTAGCCAGAGAAAAAGATAAGGTCCCGTAGATAAGGGACATTAATTCAATGGGGCAAAACCCGTCCTACATAATTATATAAAACAAAAAGTTGTTCTACATAGCCCATCTTTGTACTATACATTAATTATTGAGAGAAAAGCCGTCGTACATTAACTTTTTCTCTAGTGTGTGGTAATGATATTCATATTTGTATTGAATATTTATAGCCTTTTCTTAGACGATCTCGTGCTGATATTTGAGTTCTCCATATGCCAGTGGGCAAAAAAGTTTTCAACATGTGGATAGTAAACTTAATAAAGTTAAGGTTTTGGATTTGAATTTCTTTTTACACATTAATTCATGATATTTTATATAAAAATATATATAAATTAAATTATTTAACATATGGTAAATTTCTAATAACTGGCACTCGTAACTGCCGGCTACGTTACGAATATGAAAGGTCTATTTTGGTCTGTATTATTGAGATCATTGAGCAAGACCTCCCAAGGCCAAGTTCTGCACCACATGTTCTTAATTAGGGAAAGGGTTGTCAATGGGTCTAGCCCAATGAAAAAAAGCCTTGATTTACAGACAATAGGTCTCAAATTTGAATCTCCACGACATCATAGTTGTGTGTATATATGAAATCTCCCTCTCCTCTAATTTAGACTATTGATTGCTCAAAAAAATTAGGGAAAGGTTTTTATTTTTATTTAGTCTAAAAGGTAAAATAGAAGAATTAATTATTATGATTTTTTATTATAAAAAAACTAGTTATATTATGATCGTTGTGCTATAAACATATAAAATCTAGCACAATATGCCTATACTTCTGTTAATGCTTTCTCTTGTTACTTTGAAAACAAAGGAAAAGAGCTTGCATTGTATACCTAGGGGTGGCAATTTCCGATATGACCCGTTACATGACTCAAAATCTGCACGAGAAATTAGTGGGTTCAACCCACACGATAAAAATTCAGGTCAACCTACCATGACCCGTTTAATAAATGAGTGGGTTTTGGGTCAACTTGCCAACCAGCTAAAATACTTATCTAACCCCTTTATTAAATGGGTCAACTTGCAAACTTGTTAAAATACCTATGTAACCCACCAACCCGCTAAAGTACTCACGTAACCCGCCAACCCGTTTCTTCTTCATTTTCTTCACTTTTCTAATTTTTGTATTTCTTTTATTTCTCTTTCTCAATCTTCATACATAGATAGAGGCAAAATTTAGTCACTATTTTATATTAAAAAAATAAAAAATACAATTACTTGATTAAATTATCAAAATTCAGGTTTTTAAAATTTGTTTTTTGATGACCTTGTGAATTTGAGATGTGATTCTTTGTTATTTTTTTAATTCTTTTTTATCGGTCTTTAGTTATTTACACATATATCTTTGCGCATCATATCCGATTCTCACATTATTGTGATCATGAAAAAATTCTTTGAATAGTCATCTTTCTCTACTTTTTCTTTTTAGTCTACATTTTTACCTCACTAATTACTAGTTCCTACCACTTAGCAGGTCACCCCGATACATGACTTGAAACCCGCACGAGAAATTAGTGGGTCAACCTGGCATGACACGTTTATTAAACAGGTCAGGTTTGTATTGAGCATTCTTAACATGTATATGATCCTGACATGACACACACGACCCATTATTGGCCCTACCTATATTTAGCCAGGGAAAAAGATAAGGTCTCGTAGATAAGGGACATTAATTCAATCCAGCAAAACCCATCCTACATAATTATATCAAACAAAAAGTTGTTCTATATAGCCCATCTTTGTACTATACATTAATTATTGAGAGAAAATTATATTTGGAAAATACTTCCCTCATTCCTTTGTAGGTAGGAATTCCTACATTTCTGTCAATGGCAATATGACATGTGTGTCAAAGTTTGTTTTTGATGAAATATTTTTGTACATGTGTCAAACCGTGATTTGTAGGAAGGAAGAGTATCTCTTTCCAAGAAAGGAGGCAATCAATATCCTTATATTTTCATGTACCAGAGGAGCAAGTAAGCTCTACCAATCTTTCCGACTGAAGACATTTGCAAGTTATAGTCAATTGAGCAAAGGGTAAGCACAAAATGGTAAGCACAGTTGAAAGTCTCCTATCGTGGTGCTGGTAAGCACAAACTTATCTTCGAAAGTTTAGGTTGTAAAGTGAGATGTCTAAGTGGATTAAGACTCGTGACTTATTGCTTTAGAATAATTGAAGAAAACCAGTCTATTTATTTTAAATTGTGGATTTACTAGCCGCTAGGAGAGAGAGAGCTTCATATCTGAAGGGGTTTGCCATGGATCCCGTTGGATCTTCAGTGTTCTCCGCCTTTTAGTGGACCTATGCCGATCTACTTTTCTTTTGGCAGTTTTCTTATCTTAGATTCAGACTGGCTTTGGTTGTGCCACATCTTGTGAGGTGCTGCAGCTTGGTCATGGTGTTAGATTTTCTGTATATGTGTTCATGATCTTTCACACAACCTGAGATATATAGAAGACATACCTGGCACCATCTTTCTTGAGTATACACAATCTTAGAACTCATTCGCAGCAACTCCGACAAAAGACACGAACGACTCAAAACTTCTACTCTCTCTCAGAAATTGTTTTAGCTCTCTCTTTATGATTAGATTAGGTTTAGAGAACATGTTTGACAAGAGCAAGGTCTCATGCTTATATAGGGCTAGGTCAAGTACTCTCTACTCATCACCAAGGGCCGACTTGACTTACATTGTAAGCCCATCAAGCAACGGTTCACACAAAAGGAAATAAATAGGACCCCTTTAATTGGCTTCAAAACTTTCCTTATTTCACAAAGTTTTGGGCTCCAAGGAACCTAATTTAAACTTTTATCAAACTTGATATAACTTAGTATCTAGCGCACCGATCTAAATAAGAATATAACACATGGTAGATACACTGCTGATTGGTGCCCTAGAGTAATGAAAATAAGCGTAAATGTATTAAGGCAAAAATGTAAGTGGAAAATTAAATGCATACGAATTGAAACTAGGCACCACCAAAGTATTAGGGGCTTGTCAACAATATAAAACATGTCCAAAACTTTATAGAATATAGAATACAATATTAATGTCTTTTTAGAAGTTTTTATTTTTATATAAGTAATATTAGGGGAGAGGGGATTCAAACACAAAATCTCAAGTGCATGGGTAACTACTCTGAACCATTGGAGCTACAAATTTTTTCTATGCCTTTATTAACATTAATAAGAAACCTTGACTCTTTTTTTTTCTCCCTACGACATTCTGACGTCATGTAACACCATCACCATTGCATAGCTCATATTGCATGGTCGGTAGATAGAAGCTTTCATCAAATTAAAGACCATCGGCCCTTCTAAATTATTGGGCCTGCAACTGGAGTGAATTATTAGAATACTTATATGGACCATCGTACCATCATAAACTTGACTCCAGCTTGGTGTAATTCTGTTGCACTTGGTATGGTTAAAGTTTTGAGTTTTCTTCTGGTTGGAAGATCAGAAGGTAAAGGTCGATGACATTTTAGCACAAAGTCAACAAAATGGTGTATTTTAGTCATAGAATGAGAGAGTTTTTTTCAAAATTTCATCAAGTGGCCTAATGTGCACCCTATTGTGGAAGTAATCATGGGTTAGCTTAATAAGGGAAAGCCCTGTTTCGAGCGGAATTGTATTGTTGACATGGGCTAAGAAGTAGAGATACTCAAGGATAAAGAATGGCACCTGATTTTCAAGCAACAACATGTCGTATATAATGTCCCTTAGCATCCATGGTTTTCCAAATATTCGGTCGTTTTCCTTTTGTAGTGATGAGAAAGAAGCTCTGAGCATGACCTCGAAGGTAAAAGTGGCCGTTTCTGTTCGCTGACTTTTTTTAGGAGCTTTTGTAACCCACTTTTCCACTATCGTGACTAGGGCTAGGCATTCAAACCGGTAACCCGGTCAAACCGTCCAAACCAAATTAATTGTTTGGGTTGGTTTGGTTTTTTTTTCAATCTTTTTTTGTCATTACGGCGCCATTACGGAGCACACTGTCTGAATAAATGTGAGCACAACTAGTGTAGCGGCTACAATAATAGACAGGCCAGCCCATGATGAACTGAAATAGTCTTGTTTTCAAGCTTGCCTTCCACTTGTGCCAGGGCACTCTGTAGTAGTCATTCAGCTTTTCACAAAGACCGGTGAAATACAAATTTCTGCTGAACAAAATAAGGCCCAAGGTCAAAAGAATTAATAAATTCCGCTGCTGCCTCGCTGTCCGGTAGCTTAGATTCAAGAATTCCACTCTTCACAAGCAATTCCACATCCCTGGCACTGTCGACCAGGCGGTCCATGACGAAGACATAGTCGTTGATGTAATGATCATGGAGCTCACACTGCTCATAGGCAATAAGATTGCGGAAGAAAATTTCTGTTGAACCCTGGCAGGTGTGGAATTTTGTATATTTTTTTATCCCTACGACATTGTGACGTCATGTAACACCGTCACGATTGCATAGCTCACACATAGCACGTTAGGTAGATAGAAGCTTTCACCAAATTAAAGATCATCAGCCCTTTTAAATTAGGGAGTTTCACTAAAACACCCAAAATAGGGGCTGAAATTATAAAAAAAACCCAACACCCAAAACACTTTATAAACACACCCAAAACTCATCATTACATACACTCAAAACCCATTTATAAACACACTAAAAAAATATACAATTGTTGATTTTGGGTGTGTTTCTATGTTTAAATAGTGCTTGGGTTTTTTTATAAATACATGTCTAGAATTGGGTTTATTTATAAATTTGTATTTAAGTTATTGGGGTACGTGGACGCGGTTGCTTGTGGAAAATGATCGAGCATAAGGTCGAGATGGTTGAATAATTTTTTTTAAATTTCATGGTGTAAAAGGAATTTAATGTGTTGACTTGGAACAAAACCCCACAAATATTCAATGAATCACACTTTTTTTCATTATCATTATTAAAGCAATTTGTTGTTACATATAGTATAGCTCATCACTGTGCTAGTAAAATTGGAGAAAATTCCACCTCAAACTATCTGCATTGAGCTTTTACAGTCGGCTACCAAACGCAAAACAAGCTTAGTTATAGGTGCATTTTAATAACTTTCGTATATCTTTTTTTTTAAAATTAAAAAAAAAGAAGAAGAGAAAAATAGGAGAAAACAGAGGAAAACATGGGAAAAGGGCTTGCATTGCATGCCTGAGGTTTTCTTTCTTTGGTATGTGCAATTGAATCTAAAGAACCAAAAAGAAAAAGAAAAAAAAAGGGTAATTTTATTGGCACCCCAAAATTTGCTCTTTACACCCCATATTCTCCTTACGCCCAACTGAATTTTAGTAAATTTTAAAATTACTCACTACATCTCATTTTTCTTCCTAGATTGCCCTCATGAACCCCATTCCTTAACTTACTTGTGTAAACCCCACTGAAATCGTTACCTTGTTCAGTGATAGTCCACCGAATTTGTTTTTGTTTTTCAATGGGTATCCATCGAATGTATTTATGTTTTCAGTAGTAGTCCACTGAATTTGTTTCAGTTTTTTAGTGGTAGTCCACCGAATCTGTTTCCGTTTTTTCAGTGGTAGTTTACAGAATTCGTTTTTTGTTTCCTTGAATTCGTTTCTTGTTTCATTGATCATCTACCGAATTCATTATTGAGTTTGTACTTAATATTTTTTTATATTAGGAATGTGAGCACCTTAGGTGCATGTCGAAGACATTTACCCTTCGTTAGTGAAATTGTGAAGAATCCTACCTGTTGCGACCGCAAGTGTAGAGCGAGTATTTTCTGCTATGAATATTGTGAAGAATCGGTTACGCAATCGAATGGGGGATTTGTGGATGAATGATTGTTTGGTTGCATATATTGAGAAAGACATTTTTAATAGTATAGATGACGAGGTTGTTATGCAACGATTTCAAAATATGAAAACTCGTCGAGGACAATTATGATTATAATGAATAGACAATATGATTTTTGATGTTTTGATGTCTTGTGAGTTCGAAGTTTTTATTGTTTATATTTTGTGAAAGGCCCCCAGACACATGAAATCCTGGCTTCGCCACTGGGGCCTGTCAACAAGCCAGAAAATGCTACGCCACGTGCGACCTAACCATCACATCACATAATCTTCCCATACACTGGAAAATCCAACGCCACATATGAGGTCTATCAACACGCCGTACAGTATGGGTAGTGTGCTAACTCATCTCACTTTCTCAACCTATCCTATGCTTGTCTAAAAGAGTTTCTAATTTAATGTACTGAGATTTACGAAAGAAATATCAGAGAAACAATTTTCAGGCAATAAAAAAATGTCTTGGCAAGAAAATGTACAATTTGTTACATAACTTATTAAATATGAACAGTTGAAAGAAAAAAGAATTTGATGAATCCTTGGCCTGTTTGGATAAGGGATTTTATTCAGACCTGACAAAGTTCTAAGTCAACACATGAAATTCCTTTTTCCAACATGCAACAATTGTATTTGATTCACAGTTTTGTCTGATATACATCACATCATGCCACTTGCATCAAATGAATTTAATTGAGTGAGGCAATGGGAAGTAATTAAGCTCTATATTGGTGGGTGGACTGTTACTTCTGGAACCCTAATCATTCGTCCATACAGGACTCTAGAACTCTCACACTTCTCATAATGACTACTTAACTCTATAGCTTATTGCATATGGCATATGCAAACACAATTAGAAATTCTACAACAGAAGCAAGATCAATCTCACTATGCCTTCTAAACAAACAAACAAATAAAACAAGCATATTAATTGCTCACCCAAGGTAACAATTCCATTCTTTTCCCATCCATTGAAGCGAAAAAGAGGTTCAAAAATATAATTAGAGCCTTCTCGCCATTATACAAGAGTGTCTGTATAGGCTGTACATTATAACAATACTAACCTCAATGCGGAAGTACAAGGCGAAAGAGAGAAACTAGCGTTGTTCTTCAATTTCTGCAGGTAAGTTTCTCTAGCACATAATTTACTCTCTTTTTTTCAATCCTTGATTTTGTGACAAACTCTTTGCATTCGTTAAAAATAATTAAAGAAAGGCAGAAGTGTACTGAAGGAAAATAAAGAAAGAAAGAAGTATGCTGTGGGTGTGCACAAGTATTATTGATAACAATTAATACAATTTGTAAAACAAACGTATTAAATTTTCGTTTTTTTTTGTTGGTCAAAACATATTAAATTTCTTCTTAAGCAGCACATTTGAAAATCAAGTTCGTTTGGGACTGCCAAGCAAAAATAATATGACTACACCCTGCATTACAAAACTACACCAGGCTGGGGTCAAGTTTAAGTTGGGATCAAGCAGAAACTTATTCGATATACGATTCAACAATGGGATTCTAGAAATTCCAAAACTAAATATACACGATTACACAGAGCTCACACTCCGGCAACTATCATTGCTGATGGTGGAATTTCCAATTCTGGACACATTGCTGGTCAGCTTCATCAACAACATCTGCACTAGAAATTCTGGTATTTTTTATCATAAGAGGACATGGGAGAGCTCTTCTTTTGTTTGCTGATGATATTGCAGGCGACATTTCCATAGGGAAGTATTTGGAGGAAGCTACAGAGGCACGTAGCAGATCTGGGTATGGGGCTTGGTCGACGTCGAAAACCCAGGTGGGGCTGAGAGATTTCGGGGCGATCAGTAGGTGCGATGGGCAATCGGGAAAGGCGATGGGTCTTCTTTGACGTCGAAAACCCAGGTGGGGTGGTTGTGGTTGTTTTGGCTTGCTGGGGTGGTTGTTGTGGCTGGCTGGCTGGGGTGCTGATTTGGGTAGCTAAGTAAGTCGTGCTAGGGGAGGGTTGGGAGGAGAGTGATGGAGAGATTTTTTTTTCTTTTTTTAATTGTAATGATTTTAATTTTTATAAAATAAAGAATTTTTTATTATTTTTTTGTCCACCTGTAAGTCCACGTCAATTAAAAAATAGACCCCACTTTTGTCACATCAGCATTTAATAGATTCACTAACGATTTGACTAACGAAGATGGCAAATTGTAGGTTTTCTACGACGTTGAGTATGTACTCGTAAATGTCCCCAAAATCGGATATGAACTCGTAAATGACCCTATAGGTTGGGGGTTTTACTGTAGTTTATCCAAAAAAATATGTACGAAACATCACAAAATCTATTCCAAATCAAACAATAGATGCTTAAGATCAAACCAACCAACCCTTAATATGCGCTTATATATACACATCCAGAACTCTAGGCAACTCACATAATAAAACATAAAAACACCTTATTATTACTTTGCAATAGTTACACCTTATTATGCTTAAGAGTGATTGCTTGTGCCTATGAAAATTACTTAGAAGTATGCTCCACAGAGCCAAAACAAATAAAGTAGGGAAGTGGAGGTTCTTCTGTTTGTATATAAATGAGCGATTCAAACTCTCAGTGCCAAGGGAGTTACCCCTGATACATTTGTTAAAAATTATATATTTGGTCTTACATCAAACAAATAATTTGAATATCACCACCACTCACATAAACGAACTATAAGAAAACAATAGGCACAACATTGGTTCAATCGATCTCTAAAATACTTGAACATTAAGTTAAGTAACAGAGACAACAGAGCAGACAGTTTGTATGTATGAGAAGAACAACAGCTGCAATGACATAAAATAGTTGCCAAGGTGTGTTCAAATATAGTCTTGCTTCAAAATCGCCTTCCATTTGTTCCGCCGCTTGTTGCAGTAATAGTTGCCGAAGTCCATCCATATGTAGTGAAACCTAGTTAATTGATAAGTTAACAAAACAAATAACAATTGAAAATCGTGACTATTTCACTGTTCATGTTATGCTTACCCTGGCTTTACCTTTCTAAGTCTTGGCATGTTGTATTAATTAGTGGGTTTGTAGCTCAATCCTTTTTATACCTTTGGGATAAAGGGTATAAAAAGGAGAAGTAAGGGTATGTTTAGGAGTACTTCTAGAATAGCTAAAAGCGCTTTTTTGACAACTGCTGACAGTGTTTGGCAGAAAAGTTTAGAAGAGATTATACGCTTCTAGATCACAAAAGCGCTTTCTAAAGCGGAATTTGCTATGTGCTTTTTCAGAAAGCACTCTAAAGTGCTTTACCAAGAAGCACTTAAATTTCTTATGAAAATTTCAACATTTTTATAATAAAAGCGCTTGCTATAAGCACTTATAAGCAGTCCCAAACTCGCTTGATTTTCAAATGTGCTGCTTAAGAAGAAATTTAATATGTTTTGACCAACAAAAAAAAACGAAATTTAATACGTTTGTTTTACAAATTGTATTAATTGTTATCAATAATACTTGTGCAAACCCACAGCATACTTCTTTCTTTCTTTATTTTCCTTCAGTACACTTCTGCCTTTCTTTAATTATTTTTAACGAATGCAAAGAGTTTGTCACAAAATCAAGGATTGAAAAAAAGAGAGTAAATTATGTGCTAGAGAAACTTACCTGCAGAAATTGAAGAACAACTCTAGTTTCTCTCTTTCGCCTTGTACTTCCGCATTGAGGTTAGTATTGTTATAATGTACAGCCTATACAGACACTCTTGTATAATGGCGAGAAGGCTCTAATTATATTTTTGAACCTCTTTTTCGCTTCAATGGATGGGAAAAGAATGGAATTTGTTGTTGGAAAAACAATTATCAATGACTGATTAAAACAATTATATAAACAGAATATATAACAATCTGTAACACAGAATACAATATATTAACAATAAATAAACCTGGCTTGAATTTGAGATAGAGGCTTGCAGATTTGATGCAATGTCCTAAAGACAGTAATTTCACCCCTTCTCGGTGCTTGAAGTTCTACAGGTGACTGCCTCCCAGGATTCAACTATCTGTATTCTAAGCCCTAGCACTCGGACTTAGAATCTGGCGAACGTTGTTTGTTTTCCTCTCAGACAATATGAAATGCTTGTAGAATGCTTTTTTCTGTATATAACGTATGAGGCCTTGTTTGATTTAAATAAACTTCTGAAACCTTATCAGAAGAGTCACAACTGTTAGAAAACAGTTAATAAAACTAATCCGAATTAATAAAAATTATTAATTCGAAACCAAAAAATCAAGGCCCAAGGCCCATCTTTTTGACCATTAAATATTATATATTTTTATATAATATTCAAAGCCCAAATCGATTTTGAAGCCCAAATTGCTTCCACTTGGCCTACTTCCATTTACTAAGTGTGGCACTTCCACACTTATAAGGACCTCACTCTTTCTACTTTCTATCAATGTGGGACAAAGGTTCTTGAATTTAATTCAAACTTCCAACGACATTTGTTACCTTGGGTGAGCAATTAATATGCTTGTTTTATTTGTTTGTTTGTTTAGAAGGAATAGTGAGATTGATCTTGCTTCTGTTGTAGAATTTCTAATTGTGTTTGCATATGCTATATGCAATAAGCTATAGAGTTAAGTAGTCATTATGAGAAGTGTGAGAGTTCTAGAGTCCTGTATGGACGAATGATTAGGGTTCCTCCACCCACCAATATAGAGCTTAATTACTTCCCATTGCCTCACTCAATTAAATTCATTTGATGCAAGTGGCATGATGTGATGTATATCAGACAAAACTGTGAATCAAATACAATTGTTGCATGTTGGAAAAAGGAATTTGATGTGTTGACTTAGAACTTTGTCAGGTCTGAACAAAATCCCTTATCCAAACAGGCCAAGGATTCATCAAATTCTTTTTTCTTTCAACTGTTCATATTTAATAAGTTAGGTAACAAATTGTACATTTTCTTGCCAAGACATTTTTTTATTGCCTGAAAATTGTTTCTCTGATATTTCTTTCGTAAATCTCAGTACATTAAATTAGAAACTCTTTTAGACAAGCATAGGATAGGTTGAGAAAGTGAGATGAGTTAGCAGACTGCCCATATTGTACGACGTGTTGATAGACCTCATATGTGGCGTTGGATTTTCCAGTGTATGGGAAGATTATGTGATGTGATGGTTAGGTCGCACGTGACGTAGCATTTTCTGGCTTGTTGACAGGCCCCATACGTGGCGTTGGATTTTCCGGCGTATAGGGAGATTATGTGATTATTAGGAAGGTGAATTAAGGATTGTGTTGGGTGAGTTGTGACTTAAAGAATAGGGAAATGGATAAATTCTAGAGTCTATCTTTTTGTATTGCTGTAATGGATTGTATGTGGTTGGAACCGGGATTTTTGTGAAAGAACTACATGTGGCTTGATTCATTGTTAAGGGTACGTAGGCAGCCTAGGTGTAGCCGCGGACGAACATTTACTTATGTTGTTTTACGGAGTATTGGATTTGACCTTGTCGTTGGTCCTGAAACTCGGCTGAAATCGAGGAGCAATTGAATAGTTGTTCATACTCCCGTTCGGCTAAGGGAGGGTTGTGTAAATGTGTTCTGGTCAAAACAAGCTTGAGACCCGTTTTGTTTGGTCGTATGATTTGGGCTGAGGTCTTAAACTACTTGCGTATGATTAAAAATTTGGGAAGTTAATTTATGTTATTTGCAGTGGGCATTTATAAATAAGTTTAAGTTTATTATCTGCATTGTTTAATGCATCATTTTGATTTAAGAACATTGCTGGCGGTTTGGTTTCTAACTATGTGAAGGCCGGAGGCCGATTATATGAAGTGCATGAAATTATATTGTGCATGCTGCTTGTTGGGATATTAAATTGTGAATTTTGTGCAGGTTTAAATTTTTGGGGATTGTTCAATTTACAGGGGAGACTCTGCCGAAATTTCAACAGAAAATCTCGTGCCTTTTTTCTTATTTAACTTGAAAAGAGGCTATAGAAATGGAAGTAGGGCCGACATCGGGGTGATGTCGGGAATTCCACAAGATTCGTCCCGAGTTCTGAGGAATTCGGGGCGGGTCCTGCCAATAAATTCATACTAACGCTATGAATTTCATTTTCTTTAGGGATATTTGTAATTAGCGGTTGGTGGAGAACGATTGAGAAGGTATTTGATTCGTTTTTTATTTTTATTTTATGAAATTATATTTATATTATGTTGTTAAATTGTGCGTTACGTAGTACAATGTGTTGTGATGTACGAAGTTAATTGAAATTAACTTCGTACTTTGTTTTTTATTTGTAGTAAAACTTAGTTTCCCGTTCGAGATTAGTTGGATTTCGTGCATAGATGCGTAAAGCATTACTGCGGTCCAATTAATTCTTGAATTGTCCCATTATTTGGACAGTTTGGGAATGCATAGTCATGTCACGTAATGTACGGCTACAGGATTAGGTTTCGATTGTGGAGATTTCGATGTCATCTCTGTACGTTCTTCGGGTGGTACGTAGGTATTTTATACATACGGTACACCTCAAGAACTGTATTAAGATGCTGCCGAAATTCATCCACGTTGAAATCTAATATCATGTAGTTGTAAATTATGTGACATGACTATGCATTCCCAAATGGGATAGGGCCCTTACCAGAGGCATAGGGTGACATTATAACTTCGTATGAAGTTGTTGTGATTGTGGTTCCAGGAATTATGAGTAGGAGGTGGATACAGAACCCGAATAGATACGCAGACGAATACTTAGATGGAATCGATTATTTTATTAAGTTTGCACGTACACACAACCCGAGTGCAACTAGAATCCGCTGTTCTTATAGGAGGTGTAACAACACGTTGTGGGAGACAATTGAAAATGTTGGATTTCATTTAGTTAGGAATGGAATGATTAAAACATATAACATATGGAACCTTCACGGGGAACAATTAGACAATGCTTCGTCTTTAAATGCCACAAGATCGAGTGGACAATGTTCAACCTATTGTGTTTCCTAATGAACAAGTCATGGATATTATAAATAATGCTTTTCCATTTGCAACGACTAACATCAATCAGGAAGGGGAAGATGACGTGCCTACCCCAATGGACAGTGCAAAGTTCAAACAATATGAACAACTGTTAAAAAATGCCAACCAAGAGTCATACTTGGGGTGCGAGAGCTTTTCCGTTCTCACGGCGATTATGGAGCTAATGCACGGAAAAATAAAGTATCGTATGTTGAACCTGTGTCTCGATTACTTTTTGGGGGGTTTTAAGAGAATGCCTTCGACGAACAATTGTTTACCGAAAAACCATAGACACGCGCAAAAGGTGTTGAATAGTCTTGGATTGGGTTATGAAAAAATTCACTCTTGCAAAAACAATTGCATGTTATTCTACAAAGAGTATGAAACATTGGATACATGAGCTATATGCAATGAGTCGAGATTCAAAATGACATCTCAGAATAGAATGACTAAGATCCTGCAAAAAGTCATGCGTTATCTACCCCTGAAACCTAGGCTACAACAATTCTATATGTCGATGCATACTGCCACAAACATGAGATGGCATAAGGAAAAATGGGTAGACGACGATGTGATGCGGCATCCTGCAGATGGGGAGGCATGGAAAGAGTTCGATCGAAAGTTCCCTGAGTTTGTTGCTGATTCCCGAAATGTTAGATTGAGACTTGCCACTGACGAATTCAATCCTTATGGGGTTCTAAACCAACACTACATCACTTGGCCGATTTTCGTATTCCCATATGAAAAAAGAGTACATGATAATGACTGTTTTGATAACTGAGGATCCTGGCAGGTCAATCGATGTTTACTTAAGGCCGTTGGTTGATGAGCTCAAGGATTTATGGATAAACGGTGTACGCAAGTATAATAAATCCACTGGGAAGATGTTCACTTTGCGGGCAGTAGTTATGTGGACTGTGAATGATTTTCCCGCATATGCAATGGTTTCTAGGTAGAGCACAAAGGGTTATATGACATGCCTTATATGCAAGGAAGATGTAACTTCTGGTTGGCACGCTAGAAAAGCTTGTTATCTTGGTCATCGGAGATGGTTGCCCTGTGACCACGAGTGGCGGGAAAATGATAAAGAGTTTATCAGGAACACAGAGCGTTGCCTCAAACCTAGAGAATGGTCCGGTGATGATATCTTGGAACAGCTTAATCGTTTGAATTTTGCTCCGTTTGGGAAAATAGTTAGTCAGATCAGACCTTCTACACATTTGAACTGTACGCACAAGCCTATGTTCTTCGAGCTCCCATATTGGTCGAAACTAAAATTGAGGCACAATCTCGACGTTATGTATGTTGAGCAAATTGTCTTTAACACATTGATGGGCACGATTCTAGATATCTAGGGCAAGACAAATGACACGATCAAAGCTCGTCTTGATTTGGAAAGAATGGGCATACAAAGAGGTTTATGGATGAACAGGGACAATGATAAAGCTAGAAGGGATCTTGCATTTTTTTTCCATGAAACCAAATGACAAAAAAGATTTTCTAAAATTTGTATCGTCTGTAAAGGTTCCTGATGGGTATGCTTCTAATATCGCGCGTTGCGTGAATGTTGATGGGGGTAAATTTATTGGACTAAAGAGCCATGACTGCCATGTGTTTATCCAACGCCTACTTCCTATCGGTATTCAACACCTTCTCTCGGAAGATGTAGTGAAACCAATTATGTTGTTGTCCAGATTTTTTTCCCAACTGACGGCAAAAACGTTGCAAAAGACAGACATTAATCAGTTACGCCATGACATTGTCCAAGTCCTATGCAAGTTTGAGATGATATTCCCTCCAGCTTTCTTCACAAGTATGATCCACGTGATGGTTCACTTGTCAGAAGAGGCATTGCTTGCTGGTCCTGTCAACTATCGCTGGATGTATCCAATAAAAAGGTATATAATCCTCATCATTTGTTTATGCATCCTTATCCCACGCTTGCTAATTTGTATCGTATCATTTTATTTTGGCAGGCTGCTCGGAGAGCTGAAAAAAACTGTACGCAACAGGACGAAACCCAAAGGATCAATTATAGAGGCTTAGGTTCAATATGAGTCGCTTACTTTTTGTGGAATGTATTTAAAAGATGTGGACACGGTTTTCAATCGTCCTCAGCGCAATAATGATGGAGGTGTGAGAAATGAGAAACTTTCTATTTTTGCCCAAAGCGCATGACCTTTTGGAGATCCTATACGAGGAGAGTCGTTTTCCAAAAATGACATGGAGGTAATGCATTGGTTCGTACTGAACAATTGTGATGAGATAATGGCATACTTAGTTGAGCATGAAGAGATGATGAAGCGAGAACATCCATCACATTTGTATGCCACGAAACACCGTGAATTGTTTTCACAATGGTTTTTGGAAACTGTAAGTTATACCATAACTATTGTATTTGACATATATATTGTAATATTTAATTTCTCAAAATAACATGTGAATGTTTGTGTATAATATTAGGTGAATAAGTTGAAATCATCGAATTCCCCCACTTATAGTGAAGAGTTATATAAGTTGGCATTCGGCTCGATTCGCGCTGAATTGTTCTCGGGTTGCCATGTTAACGGCGTCAAGTTTTTTGGGACTATACGAGATGATAAGTTGTGTACGCAAAACAATGGTGTCCTTGTCCCAGGTGGAGGCGAAAGTACGGACATTAATTTCTATGGCAAACTCATAACTGTCTTGCAATTGCTTTACAAAGACTGATATCAAGTGATCATGTTTAAGTGTCGATAGTTTGATACAAACCCAAATAGGCAGGGAAGTGTTAAAATCGACCATGGCTTACTATCAGTGAACATTAATAGAACTTGGTATGATAACGACCCTTACATTTTGGCAATTATGGCAAAACAAATTGTATATCTAGATGACCCTAAAGCCGGGAGCGGTTAGAAAGTTGTTCAGCAGATGGATCAGAGGAACGTGTATGATATACCAGAACTAGACCCAACTGACAGCAATGTTGTCGACGTCGCTGACCAACATTTGGAATCTTCCATGGAAAATGATGCATAAAAACTTCGAGATACAAATGTTATACAAGAACCGTTTCAGCTTCAAGGAGTGTCTTCAATCAAAATACCGATTCAGTCAATTACAATTGACCTCGGTGATCTTCCACGATACGATATTCCAATGGGCCCAAACAACGCAAGTGATGAGGAGGAGGATTAGGAGACCGAAAGTGATGATAACAACGATAACAAAGGTTATTATAGTTCAGATGATGAATAATGCAATTTATTAGCGACTACCCATGTAAAACTGTTTGTGCCTAATAAATCACGGTCATAAACTGACCGAATGGACCTCCTCTCGACCCTAGCACCTACTCATGAACTGAAACGGCCACGTTTTGTTAGGCATTTCGCCTTCCTAAAAACAAAAGAAAAGCTGCAAAGGCAAAATCCTCTCGGCCTCGCGACCGCGGTTTTATAGGCCGAAGCCGAAGGCCGTAAAAGACACGGCCGAAGATATTGTGGTCAAATCGCCACGTGGCCTCAAGGTCCCACGCCCCATTTAATGAAGTAATGCCTCTGACTATCGAAGAAGCATTTAATGCACGATGGGAGAGGGGAAGTAACTGAAGTCAGGATTTGGTAATGGAAATCAGAGTGGTTAGGCGCAAACATTCTCACAAGTATGCTTACAACTTGAGGTCAGATCATCAACTACCAGACCAGGGCATTAAATGCGTTCCCACGGCCAAGAGGGTAGAACCCACGATCAGGGCAATGGCCGAGATTTACCCGGATTCATGGGGGTCACACCAGCATGCTTCACGATCCCAAATGCCGATTTGACTACCCACTTGCCCCGATCAGGCTCCACCACGCAGATCTTTTCAGCCTCGATTGTCCCTCCAAGACTCCCCCTATAAATATTAAGCTCAAGACTACATTCAAGGGGTTCAAACACCAAACCAAAAGCCTCCCACGGAGCAAATTATATTTTCCTGTAATGCACTTTCAATACCTTTATTTGCTTTCCTAGGAGTAGTGGTAGATTGTAAGGAAAATCCATTCATCAATATATCATACGACCCTTGATTTTCAAGGCGCCGGAGCACCATCTCTATTGTCATCTCATTCACCCCATATATCATACGACCGTCGCTCTCTGAGCAATGCGCAGGAGCACTGCCTAAAACCCGCTACCAACGCCACCACTAAACGGCCTTGTAGCTCAGGCCGTGAACCTGACGGCCGAGATCAGTTCTTTTCTCGGCCACAATCGTTTGATTAGGAGTCAAACTCAAAACAGGCGCATCATTTAACCATCTTCTACCCAAACCTCATCACAATCTCGACGCACGGTAAACCGTGCTGGCACGCCCGCGCACAACCGCACCGCATCCAAAAGAAGGACGTCATGTGTTAACGCACATCCCCTCGGCCCGGAGCACCAGGCCGTGAGATTTGCGCAGCCAACAAAAACATAGTAAATGAAATTTTTTGTAATTCAATTATGGTAGTGTAAAGATGACAATCACAAATTAAAAAGTAGTTGCACACAAAATTGGCAATCACAAATTAAAATAAGTCATATAATATATAGATTGAAAATCTTGAAGCTGACTATTTGATTTTCAGTGGTCTTATAAGAATTAGGGTTTTCTCTCTTTGGAGTTGAAAATCTTGAATTGAAAGAATACAAAAAATTGAAAAAAAATCAAGAATCGGGCCTTTAAGAATTTTTTTTCACCCCTCTTCACTTTTGGCTTCACTCTTTCTTGGTAACCCCTTCTTATTTCATTAAGGTAACATGTGTAATTTTTATAATAATTCTTTAAAATATTTTTTTTTAAATAAGAATAAAAAAATAACCTTGCGAGAGGTTTGTGCGACGTAAGCAACGTTTCTACGTCGCGCAAGTTGTCGTAAATAATACTTATGAGTTATCGTGACAATAATTTTATAGTTCAAAACTTGAGCGACCAATCAAGAAATTTGGTCACGCAAGAAAGCGAGAAGTTTGCGCGACGTAAGAAACGTTTCTACATCGCGCAAGTTGTGCTAATTTTCACTTTAGAGTTGAAGTTGTGATAGTTTAGTGTGCGACGAATGCATTTTGTCCTCGCGCAACACCTCTTCGCGCTATGAAGGAAACTTGTTACGTCGCGAAGGTTGCGATAATTTTCACGTGAAAATATAACCTTGCACGACAAAATTTCCCTTGCGTCGCGCAACACATCGTTGCGCTAGGAATGTTATCTTCTTCGTCACGCATAGAGAGACCGTATTTATAAATAACGATGACTCATAAGTATTATTACGAGATTCTCATTTAAAGAACATATATTATGAAATTGTATTATTAGGACCCTACAAGTGTGTCATTGGGTTAATTTACATGTTAAAATATTGCATTGTGCTATAAAAAAAATACACTATTATAACGTGAGTAAATTAACTATTTAGCTTCAGTAAATTTGACGTAGTCAATGTCTAAAAAAGTAATCAAGTTGCTCGGGGTAGAGTAAAAATTAAAATTTCATAAATAAAGTGTTGAGTCTATTTGTGATTTAACCCACAATTCATCCACATTCCAAGAGGCATTTTTAAAAATAAAAATAAATAAATACATATATATATATACACACACATATATCATAATATATAATATAAATATATACATATATATTATATTATAATATAATATATTATATATACTAGCCCCTTGGCACATGCGTTGGTTTTATTTTTTATTTTTATTTTATTTTTAGAATTAAGAAAAGATAACATGGTTAATTATGTTCCATAAAAGTAGGACCTATTATCTGATTTTGTTTTTAATTTTATTTTGTATATGAAAAAAAATGTGAATTTGCCATATTATCCTTATTTAATTAATAATTTCAATTCATAATGTTTGAATTAACCAAGGGTATTTTCTGCTATTTTGAATGTTTCACCATTCTCTGCCTTTTACTTTATATATAGATTATATATATACACATATATTATAATATATAATATAAATATAAATATATTATATTATAATATACATATATACACATATATAGATGTATCTATATTATATATATATACATGGGTATATATAAATATATATATAGATAATATATATGGGTATGTTAGAGTAATATAATATACATGTATATATGTGTATATATGTATATTATAATATATACATATAGTATAAATATAAAATGTATATGTGTATATATGTGTGTATATGTATATTATAATCCATACATGAATCTCCATTATTTTCTCATCTATTTGAACGAGTGTTTGGCTTCCTTTGAGCACTAAACTCACTCAATTATTTCTTTCTTATGTCAATGTACAACATTTAAAAATTTGGTTCCTTAATAACTTTAGTAATCTAATATTGGAACAAGAAATGATTGTAAAAATATAAAAATCAAAAGATTACATAATACAATATTTAAAAAGGAATGTAATCTTATGTGGCACAAAGACGCCAATGTATTCCTCCGTTGCACAAAATATTGCGAGCTGCAGAATTTCATCGTGCAACCAAACTTTGCGCGACGTCGAGATTTACTCTGTCGCGCAATGTTATCATATGCTCGATCATTTTTGCCTACAATTCAGTAGTGTATTACCGAATTTTTGCCTACAATTCAATGGCAACGAACCGAAATATATTTATTTTTTCAATAACTTATTGTCGACCACAAATTTAATGTAAGCTATTTTGACCTTACTCCTATTGAAGGAACAAAAACAAGGTGACGCCCTTAAAATAGACAACATATCATCCAATGTGATGGTCATCTCACCAAAAGGCATGTGAAAGATGTTCATTTCAGGATGCCATCTCTCAATGAAGGTAGATACAACAATTTTATCTGCATTCCGATAAGAACACCTAATAAGTTGCTCTAATCCAAACCTCTGAATGTACCATTTGAATATACCATTATTTGGATTAGCCCACCAATTTCACTAACGAAGGGTAAATGTCTTCGACATGCACCTAAGGTGCTCACATTCCTAATAATAAAAAATATTAAGTACAAACTCAATAATGAATTCGGTAGATGATCACTGAAACAAGAAACGAATTCAAGGAAACAAAAAACGAATTCTGTAAACTACCACTGAAAAATGGAAACAGATTCGGTGGACTACCACTAAAAAACTGAAACAGATTCGGTGGACTACTACTGAAAACATAAATACATTCGATGGATAGCCACTGAAAAACAAAAACAAATTTGGTGGACTACCACTAAACAATGTAACGATTTCAGTGGGGTTTACACAAGTTAAGGAATGGGGTTCATGAGGGCAATCTAGGAAGAAAAATGAGATGTAGTGAGTAATTTTAAAATTTACTAAAATTCAGTTGGGCGTAAGGAGAATATGGGGTGTAAAGAGCAAATTTTGGGGTGCCAATAAAATTACCCTTTTTTTTCTTTTTCTTTTTGGTTCTTTAGATTCAATTGCACGTACCAAAGAAAGAAAACCACAGGTATGCAATGCAAGCTCTTTTCCCATGTTTTCCTCTGTTTTCTCCTATTTTTCTCTTCTTCTTTTTTTTTAATTTAAAAAAAAAAGATATACGAAAGTTATTAAAATGCACCTATAACTAAGCTTGTTTTGCGTTTGGTAGCCGACTGTAAAAGCTCAATGCAGATAGTTTGAGGTGGAATTTTCTCCAATTTTACTAGCACAGTGATGAGCTATACTATATGTAACAACAAATTGCTT